GTGTTCAAGCAATATCGACGTTTGACAACACTAAATAATATTTTAGCAGACCCACCGAGCCGAATTCTATGATCATGTGCTCCATTAAAGTGAGATCTCAAGAGATTTAAAAGATAATAGTAATAATTTAAAGCATCTTCCACACACTTCTTAATGAACTTTATAAACCAGTTCGACTAGGGATTTTTTTCATTGTGAATTTTCTAGATAACTATATGAACTATTTTATTTACAATATTTACCATAAAAATTAATTTATTTACAATTTTATCATCAGTCATTTTTCATAGTAAGCTATAGTTGGTGTGAGAAAAGAGTTTAAAAGAAGATACACGGAAACAACCAAGGAAAACGAATTTTGGAGATTCTTGTGGAAGATATAATTAAAAGGAAGACAAGATGGGACATTTCTCCAGTCCCTAACAAAGACTTTAGTTTTATCAACTCAGGGTTTACACAATTATTAATTTTTAGGTTTTGTACAAAGTAAAGCCTTAATCCAATCTCAAACCACCCAATTAACTTTTAATTGAGTTAGTAAGATTCGCAGATCTCTGAGCCCTCTATATATAATTATATGTGTAAATATGATTATTGATATAGAAAAGGTTATTAACAACGTGTGTGTGTGTGAATCTTGACGTCAATCACGCAAACATACTCGTGAAACAAGGATTCGTCATTTGGCACCTAATTCGTGGGGAACATGTTAACATCTGAGACTTTTTTATGGTCGTTCCTCGTTTTTTCCTTAACAAACCCCACTTTTAAGTAGTTTTCACATTACTTAGCTTTGTCTCCAAATGCTTTTTTCACCGAACTATCTTACTTATTTCAGAGATTAAACTGAACATTCTTTCTAATCAAGATTTCAAAATTATGATATACTAGATTTTGACCCGCGGTACACCGCGGGGCTATACTTTAAACAAAAGTTTGAAAATTATGTATAGATATAACCTATTGTTTTGTTTGGTTAAATATACTTACATATATATATTATATATATTACCCCGTGATACTTCGGGTCGATTTTTTATAACAATAATTTTTAAATTTTAAGTTGTATTTTTTTGTTAATATTATTTATTTTATTTAGTGTTTAAGATTATATAACTGTATTTGATTGTTAATCCTAGGATTTCACCCGTAGTATACCGTCCCGTATTAATATCGACCCAAACCCGTCCCACCATATAACCCGTCCCATGAAATTAAACATCATTTTGTTATATTTCTTTTTAATAATATTTTTATTTAAAAACATATACAATTCGAGTCAATTTATAAGTTTGCTTTAAAAAACATATAGTTGTAATGTTTTTATTATAATAAAGTAATAATATATAGATGTTGCTTACTATAGTTATAATCAAAACCAACTAAAAATCTAAGTTTAGTGTTGATTATGAATCATAGTTACGACCAAAAAAAAAATTAATCAAATACAATTAGTGCAAATTAACTAATTAAGAAAACAAATAGAAATATAACAAAACTTGCTTTAAAATCGTTAACAAAAAAAAAGGAAACATCATATTTAAGCAAGATCTTTGGAGCCAAAATCTTTTTTTCATATCTTTTATTTTATTTTCCAAATCTTAAGAATTAAATCCAGTGGCATTCCATTGTAAATAGTAGTGAAAGCCAGGATTTATTTCATAATTGTATTCAAAAATGTATATATAGATGTTTGACTCGAAATTGGTGCTAGAGTTGTATTTTTGAATTTGTGTAACTGTAGCAATTCATTATACACTTATTTAAAAAAAATAAGCGGAAAAATTATAATCTAGTGATTTGTGTTAGTGTAATCATTACCATTAAAATTTAAACCTGTATAAACATGTTTGTAGAGAAAAAACTACACGGTAAAACTTGTTCAAAACATAATTTAATTTCTTTAAAGGGCTTTTGCAAAAATGCCACTTTTTCAATGCCACTTTTCAAAATTATCTCTTTTTAAAACCTTAAAAAAATGCTCTTAAAAATATAAGACTTATCCAAATATGTATGTAATATTATTAAAAAATACGCAAACTACATTTCTATGTATCTAAAATCTTATAAATACTTTATAAATACCTTATAAATGCATTTTAAATACTTTTAAAAACTTTTAAAATATCTTGTAAAACCTTTAAAAAACCTTAAAAATCCTTTAAAATAACTTGTAAAACCTTTAAAAACACCTTATAAAACCTTATAAATACGTGGATCGAATCTTCAAGTAGTAGTTACAATCCATAAGTACCTTATAAACCTAATAAGACTTTATAAAAATTTCAGATTTAAAAAAGGGGTACACCAAAAGGGGTATTTTTAACAATTTTTCTTTCTTTAATCTGTAACGTTAATCTTATTTATTTATTAAAATCTTCGGTAATATTAAAATTATATTTACACAAGATTAATAGCTTCCTTTAAAAAATAAGCCGGTTTAAATGACAACACAATTCTGACCCATTTTGTAATCTATAGATTTTATAGTAATGAATAACTGAATATAATTTTAATAAACGTCACAAAAAATTAAAAAAAATATTTTAACTTTAAAATATACATATTACAATTTTCAAATAATAAACTATTATATACATTTAAAATAGAATTAAACTCATAACTCACTTTTGAATGCAAATTTAAAATAGTAAAAAGAATTGCGTTGACGTATAGTTACCTTAGATCTTTAAAGTGTGGTACATTGCAAACATATTTTTCTTTTAGTCATAATTTTAAAGACAACGTTACTATAGGTGAGACAGTAATTGTAACTATTTTTTTGGTCGGGAAAGTAATTGTAATTATATTCCATAAATTTAAGTAATTTGACTTTCATAAAACTTTGGGATCGTATCTGAAAATAGATACGCACGATAATGCGATGGAGACACGTGGGACACACAGAAGTGAGATGTGGGACTTTTGTTCCTTTTTAATTTTCACATCTTCAATTAGATTCTCATGTTTCTTTGTCACACATTTCAAACTTTTTGGCTTCTGGGTCACTTCAGATCACATCCCACATTATGCTTTTTTTTTCTTTTTTTTTTCAATAAACGAAGCTAAGTTATGTTTATGATAACATTTGTTTGCATCTACTCTATCTTGAGTTCTTGACTTTACTGATCACTTTCCGTCTGTCGGCATCTTTTTAACTTTGTAATAATACATTTTTAGGTGAAATTTTAAGCAAAATACTAATCTGAAACAAATAACTGTTGTTTGAATTTTTGAATATTTTATAAAATCTGATATATTACTGGATAATTTATTGTATCACCATAGTAATCTTCGGCTATCTTGAACTTATTTTTAAAAATTTTAATTTATTTTTTGACAATATCTGATAATCTCAACTGAAAAATGTGATAAAATCTGGCTGTGATGCATATATACTCCATATGCGAGGCACGTTTTGTCTGATTTGTATATAAGTTTAAATGTTTGCGCGACGCCTAAAATTATAGCCATCTCTCGATTTACATACAAATTGGAAGTTACAATAATATTATTAATTACACTTATTGGATGTTATTCCAACTTAGCTCTAGGTATCACGGGACTCTCTTGAGTAGCTTTAGAAACTGTCCCATTGTATTTGTAGGTTAATATTTAATTGACTTTATAGTCTACAGTACATCTTTTATATCTTAGCTAAAAACCAAAATATTCCAAAATTTGTTGATTAGGTTAGATTATCAACTGCCAGGATCGAAATTGATCGGATCAAATTATTTTTTAAAAAAAATCAGATTATTGAATTTGTTATTTTGAAAAAACGTCTGATGTTAGAGAATCAAGAGAGAGAGAGAGATCCACTACGATATAGGTTTGCCCCTTTAGTTGCATTATGAGAGTACAACAAACTAACATGGTCATATTAGCTTATGTGAACAAGAAAATAAACTCGTATCTCCGAGGATTTTTCGACGATCTAGTTAAAATTGATAAACAAAATTGGACAAAAGTCAGATTTCTAGGAGGAAAATGAGAATTTTATATCTAGGACTTAGATAGATATAAAGTTCAAATGTTCAATATGTTGGTTATGGATGAGTTGAAACAAAAGAAGTCATCTGCCATAGTGGAAATGAAATTCTTCGGAAAACTACTTGGATTGCAAGAAATCCGGAAAATAGGGAAAGAAGAACTTGTTATTTTGTGCACCAGCTATTAAACTCAACCTTATAAGAGGTTAACAACTAGATGTTTACCTCATTTTCTTATATTACTAGATTTATTTATATATGCTGACAGACAATATTACGTGATGACAAACTTATTTTTTAGATTTATGTATGTGATGACATACTTATTTTGTAGTATGTACGTGATGACAATCGTATTTGACTAATGACATACTTGCACGAAAGATATATTTACATGATGACAATTTATTATGTAATGACAAACTTATATGGTAGATTTAGAAGAATTCAAAGGTAGAAAAGATTGATCAAAAACAATGGGAAAGAAGATGAATAAAGAGATGCTAAGAAAAGGTGAAACTATATAGGAAAAGAAGAACAAAAATAAAAAGTAAGAAGATGTAGAAGAAGGTATATCTATGAAAGACGAAAAAAATAAAAGAAGAAAATGGCGGAATATAACAAATATATGAACGGAATGACAAAGATGATGAAGAAGAATATAGAAAAAACCGTAATGAAAATGAGGATATATAAATAAGGGTGACAACACCAAAAACCTATATTTTCCGACTAACCTCGTTAATTTTTTCCCCAAAATTATTAAGTTTTTTGGTGAGATATAATGAGTTTTTTCATAAATTAATGAATCTTAGATATAGATAATAAGCGGGTTAGTATCTTGAAAATTAACATCCAACACAAAAAACAATGGAGTAGTTTTTAAAAATATATATAAAATTATTCAAAATCTTTGTAATTTTTTCAAACAAGTGTGTCGTAATTATTCTTTTTACTTAGAATCACAAAAAAAAGTAGGTGGAAACATATGAATTTTCCCGAAGAGAACAAGTAAGAATAAACACATAAATGTGGAGCCAAACTCGAAATTTCCCTTCACATGAAAAAAAGAAATAAAACAAAGAGACAAATGAAATCCAATAGGGTCCCATTATACATGTCGTCTCGGTTCGTGTGTTCCTCAAACTCCCACTTTCACTGTTCTTTTTCTTTCTTCTTGGGATGTCCGAAAAATAAAACAAATACGTAGAAAACAAATACCAAAGTTAATCACAACAATCTCTCATATCTTTCACACAACACACACTTGCACAGTGTCTCCCATGTTACTGTACAAAGACACACATCTCAGTTTATATAAATATATGCCCTCACTCATCAACTTCCTCTTATTATAAACCTTATTCAACATTTCTCTTTCTTTCTAATTCTCTCTCTCTCTCTCTCTCTCTCTGTCTCTCTGAAGACATACATATTTAATGGAGGAGCTGGATTTTGGTTCAAAAACAACTACTTCTCGTCTAAAGTTATTTGGATTTAGTGTTGATGGAGAAGAAGATTTCTCCGATCAATCAGTCAAAACTAGCCAATCTTCTGTATCACCTGAACGTGGAGAATTTCCGGCGGGATCTTCCGGAAGAAGTGGCGGTGGTGTACGAAGCCGAGGCGGAGGAGGAGGAGGAGGAGAACGTAAGTACGAGTGTCAGTACTGTTGTAGAGAGTTTGGTAACTCACAAGCCTTAGGTGGTCACCAAAACGCTCACAAGAAAGAGCGTCAACAGCTTAAACGCGCTCAGCTTCAAGCTACACGAAACGCAGCCGCGAATTTCTCAAACGCTGGATCAGCGTCTCAGTTTTTAAGGAATCCTATAGTCTCTGCTTTTGCTCCTCCGCCTCATCTTTTATCATCATCCGCCGTGTCTCAGCCTATGGGAGGTCCTTGGATGTATATTCCGCGTGTCTCTCCCTCTCAGCTGCACGTGTCGCATGGTTGCGTGATTCAGGATGGTTCGGGTGGTGCGAGTACGGGCGGGTTCTCGTATGAGTATGGGGCTCGTGATTCAGGGTTTGGAGTAGTTGGGCCTCAGATCAGACATGTTCAGGCCCATGGGCCGAGACCATCGGGTAATGGGTTTTCAAGAGAAGTGGGAACTACTTTTGATGATGGTTTAGGGTTGGATTTGCATCTCAGTCTTGCACCAGCTGGTCATTGACGGTTTTCTTTTTAAGCTCTTGTATATTTTTCAACATTTTAATTATTTTTTTTTATTTTTAATGATTTTTTTCTTCTCTATCAACATTTTTAGTGACTTTAAATTCCAGTAATTTTTTGCCTAATAATATTTTAGACTCCAATTATGCTTCCTACCCCAAAAAAGTAGAGTCTCAAAATGCTTAACCAATTAATGAAAAAAAATCCAGAAGGTAATATTTGTTAAGACTCCAAGAAAAAAATATAAACAAATAGGACCAAAGACTATATAGTATATAAAAATAAACGTTAGGACATAAGTTGTCAGGTGTACTGTAAGTGATTCTATAGAATGTATATATAAAAAAAACATACAAAATAATCATTACACTATTCAGATCCATTAGATCTTAATCTTTGTCAAAACATTTTATTATTATAGTCGCCAATAGAATTTACAATTTAGAGGTGAGTATGAAAACTCTCAAAACTTTTCTCACACGTTTGCTGGAAAATTGTTGTTAAAATTAGTCAAAAGGGCCACGTTACAACCTTTTCGGATTGCGTTTGAAATTGATGCGCCTCCAACGCTGATCCGATATAACATATAAGCATACCAATGAAATTATAACTGAAGTGTTTACTTTTGGAGTTCTCACATTTCTGACATATTAAAATATAGAAAATTGTTACTTTAGATTAGCCTCTGTTTTACAAAAGTAGGAACTTATATTTTCTAGAACATTGCAAATTTATTCAGTTATAAAACCTATGATATGTTTTTTGTTATAGAAATATGAAATATAGGATATATGATCTATAGGAGTTATGATTTACAAAACCTTATGTAAATGCTAAGTAAAGACAGCAAACATTACAAAAAAATTTCAAAACCTAATTTTTAAAAATGAACCACTAGACTAATGCTGCTGAATTATTAATCTATGTGGAAAAGGTTAATCTACAATTGGCATGGTAGTGAGATTAATCGGTCTATGGTCTTGTACTCTTGTCGGTACTGGATATTCGATTACCCTGTTTGGTTAGAATTAAATTTAGTTGATTACCCAATTTGGTTAGAATTAAAATTACTAATCTAACACAATTTGGTTAGAATAAAATTCTTTCTCATATTTAGGGATTGTATGACCACTATAATCTTTTGGTCAATATGATTCAACTCCATGTTTTCAAAGTCAATTTTTTTTTTTTTTTTCAAAGTCAATTATTACTCTCAATTCTTCAGTTAGTTTATTCCCTTTAAGAGCAATAGATCATACATGTACACACTAGCAACGGCTATAAAAAAGAGATGTAAACATACATAGAGATAGAGTTTTGGTATGTGCAATCTACATGCATAAACATACCCGGGTTGAAAATACAATTTGTTAAATGATTGTGACTATAGGTAAAGATGATACGTTTCTGCGACTTAATATATTACTAGGCTCCTATATCTCATAATTTAAGGCATACAAGCACTTATATAATGGAGGAATCTTACACTATCCTAACATTTGTTTTTTTTGCAAACATATATTTTCTAACGAATGTGGATGTGTAATACCAAAAGAAGAACAATTTTTAATAACAAAATACAGCTTGGCGTAACATCTAGAAAATATTATATGTCACAAGCTAAGGAGAATCCCCGGGTATCCGAATTTGAAATAATAAAATCATTCTAATTATACAGTATATTAATATGTAGGGGGTAGACCAGCGCATTCCGTGTTTAAACATGAAATGGGATCCTAGTCACTATGAGCCAATGAAATATATCCTTGACCTATGTATTTTTTAAATACATTTGTTAGCGGATGAGTTAAATTGTTATCCGACAAATTTGGTATCTGATCCGATAAGAAATTTTTTTCATAAATCTTACACCGGATAGTTTAAATTTTTTTTTATCGGATCAAAACATATCCGAAATTATGAACCGGATATTCCATATTTAAAAATACAGATATTTAGAAGATTTGGTTAAGATTTAGAAAGACAATTCTCCTATCATCTTTGTTTGAACATTTTTTAACTATTTTGAATCGTCATCTACTTAACATTTTTGAAGTACAAATTTGCTCATCTACTCGGGTCGGGTTTTTTTCTGATTTTGACCCGGAAATCTTCAATCGGATCTTCTCTTAAATTATGGCAAAATTTAAAAACGAAATTGCCTAATAAAATCTAAATTATAGTATATATTTTCTCAACTAATTACTATTTAACTCTTTATTTATGGTGTAGTCTGTCGTGAATCTAGTAAGGGTCGAAAGGAATTGTCAGTTGTAGAATCGTCTATGTAACAGTTCTCATAATTTGCAATTAATAATAAATCTAGACGACAAAAAAAAAAAAAAAAAAAAAACTCTTTATTTATGGTATATTCTTTACAATTTTTATTGATTAAGAAATCAAATATGATGATTTAATGCTAATATAACAAATATGAGCTAATTTCCTAAAAATTCTCTACCTAATTTAATTATAAATATATGATTATCATTTCACTTTTATTTGATCTTATATTTCTATTCTTTTGAATTATTATAAACATATATAGTTAATAATTTTTTTTTTTTTACATATGTTATGATTCAAAGTTTTTAAAATAGACATATATTACTCAATCGATGAAGAAAAACAGTATGCGTGTAATCTATATTAATATTTTTTAAGAACAAATTGCACATTTAATCATGTCGGTTTTTTTTTTAGTTCTGATCCGAAATCGAGTCATTCAGATCTTTTCTTAATTTCTACAATTATCTAAAACGGGACAGTATACCACGGGTGAGATCCTAAAATTAACAAATCAAAATACAATTATTTAGTATTTTAAAATACAATTATAAATTGTTTTTACGGATTGGTCCAAAAACACATACTAATTTAAAAATATATATATTATGGAAACCATATGAAACTAAATTTTTAAATTGACTCGAATTATATGTCTTTTAAATAAAAGTGTTATTCAAAAAAAATAACAAAATAATGTTTAATTCCACAGGACGGAAGTATATGGTGGAACGAGTTTAGGTCGATATTAATACGGGACAATATACCACGGGTGAAATCGTAGAATTAACAAATCAAAATTCAATTATACAATCTAAAACACTAAACAAAACAAATACAACTTCAAATTTTTATTTCTTATATACAACGCATGTGACCCGCGGTGTACACCAAATAATATTATACACAACAAATTCAACAGTTTATAAAAAGATAAAAAAAATTTAAATAATTAACCCGCGGTGTACCATAGATCATATCCTAGTATAATACATAAAACTAGATAAGTAACCCGCAAAAATAATTAGTAAATAAATTTAACATTAAGGTTAACTATATAATCTATTGTAATGGCTAAAATGTCTAATGACTTTAGATTTTATATGGAAATATGAATCGTCTATAAAATAATGATTATTTTGATATTATAACTTATTATTCATAGGATAAATAATTCACTTAAAATTAGAATTACGATTTTTATATATTGTTTCTGAATTTGATTGTCTTTTGATTCAGTAACAAAGTATATGTGATTGTGATTTTTTGAATCATTGTGGATGAAGATGATATTGGCACTCTATTTATAGGAAAATATGGTTTTGGAATTTATTTTTTGATTTTTTACAGATTTATTGTTGTGGTTGCATTTATTTAAGATTTCGTTTCGAAAACAGATTAATTTTAAACCAAAATGAATATATTTATTGATTGTTAATTTTGTTTTGAAAACAAATTAATTGGAAGAACAATACATATAAATGAATTATATACTTATATTATTTGATGTGCTTATGGCTCGTTCGGTGTTAATAATATTACAATAATAGCATTAAAAACATAGGTCTTCTGTTAAGATTTATTTATTTAAAAATAATAAATCAAATTTAGCACTGAATTTGAACCTTAGTGCTAGTGTAAACAAATCCAAGAAGTATTCTGGTTTAAATTAAACCTAATGGTTTTGTTTTTTAACACATAAATAATTATTTTAATAATAATGAGTTTTACTTAAAACAAATTACTTACAACATAGTGTTTTAGTTAATTTGAAAATGAAAATAACAGTAGTTTATTTGAATATTCATATGAAGTTGTACTATTATTTTCTTAATACACTAATAATCACTTATGAACAATATTATATACAAAAATATGTTAAATAGTGTTTTAATTAATTTGGAAAACAAACGAAAAAAAAAGTAGTTTATTTGAAATAATAATTATGTAAAGATCAATTGCTTACTTATTTGCTTTTTCTATTAGAATTTTGTTTTTTAATTTGTATGATATATATAATGTATGAGACTAATGGCAAATTCCGTAAATAGTCTAATAGAAGTTGGGTAATTATTTAAATAGGAGCCAAATCATTGTGAGAGCGACACATCAGCGTGACAATCTTATTAATAATACATCATAGTAAGGTTTATTTTAGAGTGTTTCTCTATTAATATATAGGGGATTTCAAAAAAAATATCAAAATTTTTCTGCATATATTAGGATTCGAAACTTTTAAAACGGATATATATATATATTACCCAATTGATGAAAAATATGTATGTTCAACGTCTCATATCGGCTAAAATGTTTAGATATTGATTCATAATCATTATAAATAAAATCAAAATGAATCCAAATCCGAATGAACAAGAAGCACAACTTAATAGCATCCAAATTTAAAATTATATACCATTTAATTCGGTTATTTTAGTTTAACTGCTTAATTTTACCAAAAATGTTAAATTTTAATCTTTTAAAAAGTTTTAAGTAATATAATTCATATATTTAAATTCAATAAAAAGTTTATAATATTATGAACATTTGAACATATATAAAAAGTTACAAGAACACGAGACGAGTTATATTGCTAGACAGGATGGTTATATAACGGGACAAGTTTTTAGGAAGTTTTAAATATTATAATTCATATATTTGAAATCAATAAAAATATATTTATAATATTAAGAACATTTGAACATATATAAAAAGTTAAAATAACATGAGACGGTTATATTGCAAGATGGGGTTATATTGCAAGACAATGTTATATTGCAGGACGGGGTTATATGACGGGACAAGTTTGAATTAAAAAAAATTAAAATATCATTAACCCGTCGCTGCAATACAAGTTAAATCTTCATTTTGTTATTTTTTTAACACCAACAATATTAGACATATCGAAAGATCCTGATTAAAATAAATTTGTATAAAATAAAAATTGTCTTGTGATATACCGTTACTAAATAACAATTGTAAACTAAACTATAAAATATAAATATCTTATAAAAAGTAGTTCTAAACATTGCTTAGTTAGAGACTTTTTTTTTTAAATAATTGTGTGGTTAGAAACTTTTAGATGATGTGATGGGGTAAATTTTAATTTGCACGTAAGAGATTTTTCTACCCGTCAGGGAAAATTGCGTTTCCATAAGTTTCATTTTTTATAAGTTGTTTCCAAAAAGTTGCTAAGGACCGTCTTAAATTATCAGAAACAAGTCGTATGGAATTTTTTTTGATATTGATGATATGCAAGGACCGAGCCGCGTTATTTTAAACCGTATCTTTGAGCTTATCGTTGTCGGCCTTATTGGTCTACAAAAAAAAAAAAAAAACCTATGTTCTACATGAAAATAAAACAATTGCAATGATTTTGGTCTACCAAATTTAATGCTGCCAAAAAAAAAAACGCATTTTCAAAAATACCATCTGTCCATTCTTTGTAGCATGTGGGCAGGTTTCTTGATTCCATTCAGCTTTAACTGAGTATGCTGGTCCAATGCATCTAAGGTGCAATAGTTCGTAATGCTGTTTCAAATAGTAATTGGCTCTTGTATTTTTCTATCCGTACACTACAATAACCTAGCATCTCTCCCTCATACTTGCGACGATTCGAGTTTTAATTTGAAGAAATGATTAGTGATTTTTTTTTTTTGGCTAAATGATATTTCTAACACTATATATAGATGGATGGTAATTTTCTCATTAAAATATACATACACAACCACATATCGTACGTACGCATCTACATATCATCCAATTTTGGTACATAAACAACAACATATAGAAATCCATAATTGTTATCTTCCAAATTTCTCAATTAGAGAGAAGTCGTCATAGTCGACCATCCTACAAAACCCATATTACTTTTTCCTAATGAATACAACAAACAACTATGATGAATTGTGTACATATACATTTCAAGTGTATGTGTGTGTTTTTTGTTACGAACCGGCCACCTCATCCGCGTCGTCGAAAATTCTGCCTGTAACCGCGTAGTCTCACTTGGCTACCAAGAATCAAGCGAATATAGAGATTTACTTCGTCACTATTTCCATTCAAGAGGATTCTCCTAAGTCCTAAACATTGTTCTGATCTTTTCTACTACTCTTAGCAATTAGTCTTTAAAGTTTTTGTTTTTCTTTAGCAATAAATCAGTAAACTTTACTTTTAAAAGTAACAATACATTAAGTGTATACGTAAAAGGTATTCTTTTTGGAGGGAAAGTTTTTTCATAGTCCCTAAACGTGTTCTTTTTCTGCAGCATGTGTCCTTTTTAAGGAATCATCAAAGTCCTTATCACACCATCAATCATGCAATATATATACCCTAATCTAAAGACTAAAGGACACCACTAAGTTATTTATTTTTTTTATTTTTTTTTTGACACCACTAAGTTATTAACTCTTGAGGGTACGTCTTATACTCTTATTTATGCTTTTGCTTTATACCAGTCTGACAATTACACATATACATTGTATATAATCTCATTGGCTTACAATATCAAAAACATTGGATCTTCAATAATGTATCATGCATGCACATATGCATCCCCACCGAACACAGAAACGAAAATAGTAGAAAACAATGATTTATTTATTATTATACACTTAAGTCGCAGTAGACAGTAGTCTAGCCTTTTAACCTAGCTATAACAGATTCTCTAATAACAATTGTGTAAGATACATATACACATATGGAAGAAAGTACTGTGTTTTATATGGTCCTCATCATGTATTTTAGAGTTCGATTGTATCAAACATAAGTACTGCATGCGTTAGTAGTTAAAATTTTTATTCACGCTCTTACGTAAACGAAATTCTATTCCCCTTATATATTTTTTGCTTAATTTGTAAAAAAAAATTTGTTAAGTTACTTCGTAATTTCTAAATAATGTTTCGCCAAAAAAAAAAAAAAAAAAGAACGAAAAATCTAATGTGTTCTTTTATAGATTGACATAATAATTTAACTTTAGTAATTTAAATAAACGCAAAAAATAGAAATAAAAAAAGAGTCAATATAATACGTAGTTGAAGAAACATTATATCAATATAATTTCTATCCGTAAGCTAATAGATTTATAATTTCGGTTGATGGTGGATTAGCGGAAGCAATTGCAAGCGTTAAGCCGTTGTGTTGATACATGTTATTTAACACATGTTTTGTTTCCATTTACCTCCTCTAAGAAACCAAGAAATAATATTTGTGGGTTTAGGAGTAATGTGGAGATAGGTTAGTGGTTAAAGTACGTTGTGGTAGGTTAGGGACAAGCACTAATATGACAATTCAGATTCCAGCTTAGAAACACGATAGGGCTTACGTGGAAAGTGATTCGGACATGTGAAAGCAAGACAATCCCTAGGGTTTAGCTTTTGTTGACGTGAAATATGAAAAGAGGAGAAAGATGATGTCGATGTGTCGAAGCGTCGTTGGTTCCAACTAAATCTGTGGCTTAAGTATATCCAAAGAAAGTTCCTTTCTCTCTAAACGTTTTTACAATGTAGTTACAATTATGATGTCAATGGATCAATTCCATATAGGATAAGAATAAAGAACTAGATCTTGTCGGGATACGCCTTTTTCCCCTTTTATATGCAAGATTCTCGTTAGTTAGAAAATTTGATAGACAAGTGACAAAGTTACATGTACTATGTATAAGAAACAAACCAAATTAGCTATCATACGTTCCATTAAAACGCTTACCGTAATAACTAATAAGTATATGTATTTGAATAGAACTAAACTAAAATAATTAAAATAGTGGCCGTTGATATATAACATATTTGATATTCCAAGAATATTTCTTGGTCGAGTTTAAAAACACTGATTGGCTTGTGTATAGGCACAATCCAAGAAGAATCTATAACTTTAAACTCACATGGGGTGGGACGTAATGTGTGCTCGTTTTAGATCATTGCTCAAGTCGTTGGTCCACATAGAGATATCTTTTGGGAATCGAAGTGGGAGGACCCAAAAAAACTAAAAACAAAAGTGCACGTATGTACGTACGTGTTCGATACATACATAACAAATAATATACTGTCAATTATGAAGACACTTGAAGTGGACTAGCGTACGATACTGTCCTACCAGTTTCAGAAAGAAAAGTGGTAAGAGACATGTCTTCCTCTTGTCGATCTCTCATTCGTTGCTTCATCACCTCTTCCTTTTCTCTCCTCGTTTAGACGTATCTAACCTGTTACCTGCGTCTAAATATATACATGTGAACATGCAATAATTGGACGGCCCAATAGACTAGCTAATCAATACCCATAACAATTTGTGATTAAAATTGTTGGAAAATGGCCTTTGCCCATAACAGTTTATGTAGGTCTGGGCAAATAAAGATTTTAAAGACAAAGGCCATTATCATCGACTTCAAAAAACAAAACACTCGGACGGGCCAACTTCTTATCCGACAAGCGCAATGGCCAATGCTAAATTCTTTTTGTTTTGTTTTCAAGAGCCTAGTCTTCTTATAGAATCAATCAAGAAGTGATCAAACTTAAAACTGTAAAATTGATAGAATCAAATACTCAAATAGAGCGAAATAACTGAGTCTCCAAGATCTTAAATATGATGCGGAGACAATTAACAATACCAATCACGTGTAAAAAGAAAACTAACACAAGAAAAAAAGATTCCAAAATTCAAAAAGTAATTAACACTTGACGTTTGATCAATCAAGCAAATTCCCGCGCCTGCATCCTCATCTCATCGTAGAACTTTTCGATGAATCTCTCAGCCTTCACGTCAATTGAATCATCTTCGCTGAAGTAATCGAACGGATGCAGAAGCTCCCTTGTAGGAGAAGCAACTTTAAGGGCACAATGCAAAGGCTCCATCTCCATCCAACTTCGCGTTATTGTGCAATCCTTGCCAATACACCGAGAAAGAAACAATAACCCGTAAATGCGTTTAAGACTCGAACTAGATAACCGAATTCTCTTCGGGCAGCATCGGATAAGCGATGTACTTGAAGGAGAGAATTGATACTCTTGGAGAAATTTATAGTTGTATTGCTGAAGGAGTTTGACCCTTTTGGATGATCTTCTTCGTTTTATGGGAATAAGCTTGAGTCTTGGGATGATGGGTCTTCTCAAGATCGAGACTTTTAGTAGTTTCGAGACCCTCTGGAAAATTGGTCTTCTTCTTTGGGACATTTTAATTTAAAATACTTTAGGGCTTAATTCTTCGAATGGACATCAATGTTCAAGATTTATAAAAGATGAAAAGTTTTGAGTTTTTAGATCTACGCAGGAGCGCCAAGCCAACCTGTGAAAAGTCATATGGTCGGTTGTCTACTTTTTCCATTATATGTATTAAGTAGCCGTTGGAGGTTTTCTTTTCAATATAGTTTTCAATACTAATTAAATTAAATAAAGGTGAAATCTACAATTACAATATTTTCACATATGAAGTGGAATTTTCTTTTGCTGTACACATCACACATATTTACACTGACTATTTAAGTAAATATCAGAATATGCTACACACAATATTTTTCTTAAATGACTTTTAGATATATTTTAAGGAAAAATAACAAGTTTCCTCAAGTTGAAGAAGTTTTATCTTTTAACTTAAGATAAATATTGGATGAGATAAATACATCAAGTTTCACAGGCGTTTCATGATGATTAGTGTAAAGCTTTTTTTTTTTTTTTTTTTTTCTAATTACTCCCATAAAAAAAAAAAAAGTGATAGTCCAACATGAGACAGTCTATCACTTTTTTGTACTTAGACTTTTTTTTTCTTACTGAAACGCGTAGTGTGAAGTTTTTTTTTGTTTTTTAAATTACTCCGACAAAAAATGTTTAATTTTTTCCTAGACAATCCAAAGTCACAAGTCACAACCATAAATCAAGCGATGATTCAGTATCAAAGTAGTTGTCCGTGTTTGCTCTATTCTTTTACGTTTTCTGTTATCAAACTTTTTTTATAACTGAAAAAAAGAAGATCACGGAAAGATGAATCGATCGTTAAACATGCAAAAAAGCAGATCCATCTCCCGATCATCCATCTTATTCTATTTCTTGGCTTCCAGTTCCTAAATGAACTTTCTCATAAAGCTTTAAAACGAAAACGAAAAAAAAATGATTATGCAAATCTTAGATTTGGTTCTACTACAAATGCAAACCAAATATATTTATAGATGCAAACCAAAAAAAAAAGTAAAGAACAAATTACCCCTTTGGAAAGTTAGCTTTGTCTTCAGATACAAAGTCTTTCGGATCTTTATCTTCACGGAAGTGATAGGCCGTCCAAAAATCTGCAATTGAGCTATTGAGTTGAGCTAATGTCATGCTTCCCATTGAGAGATGTGACAGAGAAAAAGCAAAGATGAGTTGAGAGAGGCAGAAAGAGAGTAAGGCTTTCAAGATAAATGATCTTCTAGAATAGTACAAGAAAAAATATAGTGTAGTTACAACTTTATATCTGAATCTCAGGTGGATTCATGATTTAATTTTGAAGAAGAAAAGGAGATTGTTAAAAAAAAAAAAAAAAAAAAAAAAAAAAAAAAGGAGATTGTTCCTTAGTTGGTTTCGTCGGATTTGGTAGCTTGTGGCTCAACATGTTCTACATTAACATCATTATATTGGGCGAGAATTGTTTCTTTTTTAAGATTAGTCTCTAGACAACATGTTTGATCAATGAACGAATGAAGGATGTTGAATCACTCAATAAACTTAATCCGCATGTTTTTAAAGTACTAAGTGACTAAATCACAAAGAACTTAATAACAAAATGACAAAGACTCAAACTTTGACAAAAGAAAACGTTTCTATTGCTTTAAGATGATCAAGGGTCTTTACAATGAGGCTAATGATCAACTTATATAGGCTGAAGAAAGAAGATATGTAAAATTAATTAAAAACTAGTCGTTGGCCTTTAAATGCGAAATCGAGCCATTTATGGAAAGTCTTAAGCGAATCCATGATTCTTTGGAGTGTCTAGGATCATTGTAAGAATCTTCAAGACGTGCATAAGTGAATAAGGAAGGAGCCGTTGGAAAATGATCTCTTTTGGCTCCATATATGGTAAGTAGTGACTTCGCGGGTTCTTGTGTGGTAAGGTGTACCAAAATTCGTGTGGTACATGTCTTTTGTGGTCTAGATGTTCTCCTGGTTCCCAGATGTAGCTTTCATTTGGGGTGCGTCCAAATGAAGGTTAAGGATAGTTTCCTTATGCTCCAAGTAGATCAATAAGCATGCTCCAAAGAGTGGTTTGGATCCGGGTCTTTTTCGGGGTGGTTCTCCATGGGATGGGGCGTTGTGATGGATCAAATAGGTGTGTGGGCTTCCTCTTGGGATGATCCAAAGGTAAAGGCTGAAACTCCTCATAGCTTGCAATCAGCTCATGTCTGTCAGCGAGTACTTCAGCAAGTACGTCTCCATCAACAAGTATATTAGGTATATCCTCTTGTACCATCTTCGAATTAGGTTGTTGGTAAATGATTTTTTCTAAACCATTAGTTTTCTTAGGGTTAATTTGTTGGTGAATAATTAACCCTAGGCCTTGTGTTTGATCATAACTCCATTTGGGTAAAGATCCTCGAAAATGCTCTGCATGGACCGGTTTGGCATGTGTACTGGCTGGTTAGGTGTGCTCCCCGTTTGGTCTAGTTCTGATGTCCAAATCAATATTTGTATTTTTTTCTTAGGGCTTTTGTTTCTACAGATATTGGATTCCTCACGAGATATTTTAAATTTAAAATTATCAAATCTGAATTAACGAAGATAAAACAATCTATTGAAAATTAAGTTATATTTTTTTTTATCCTAACTTCATTCAGATTAGATTATATGAGATTGTCATGATTTAATTTGAACCTCAAGGGAATTTTAGGTTCATTTTAATGTAAATCTAAATAAATTATGGATATATATAAATATATATATATATATATATATATATATATATATATGAATAAAAATATCTAATACAAACCAAAACTAAAATCATATCAAATCATGTATTGTTTTATTTTGTATACTATTATTAATAAAGCAAAATTCAAAAAACTGAAAAATTTGAACGCAAACCGAACTGAAATCCATTTTGAAGATGAATTGGCCATTAGTAATATCCAACCATGAAATGTTATACCAATTTTTAGTCTTCGTTCTTCTGTTGTTTTCGGATTTTAGTTTTTAATTAAATCTAAATTTTAAACATTTAACTAAGGTTTTGGAACGAATTTTTTTTATTTCCTTCACTTTGTAGGTAGATCTATACTTGTAACGATCTCTAAAACTTTTGGTTTTGCAAGTTGAGCTAAAAGGTTGCTGAACTCAAATCTATAAGTATGGGCATGCTCCGCATGTCAGTTTCTGCCCTTTCTTTGGTACTTGGAGAAGCTGAAAACAACTTTCACATCTAATAAATATAGCATCTCTTGATATTTCACTCTCACCTTTTATGCTTTGTGTGATTTTTTTTTTGAACTTTTGTTTCTTCTAAAAATATCGGGTTCAACACGAGAGATTTTTAATCTAATATGATCTAACCTGAACGATGCTAAAACAATCTTTTGAAAATTAAACAATATCTTTTTTTATTATAACTTCATTAAAATTAGGTTATATCAGATTGTCATGGTTTACTTTGCACCTAAACGAAATTTGTTTTTATCGTAAATCTAAAAGACTTGTGGATATATATTAGATTAAATCTGAAATACAAAGCCCAAATTTTCTGAAGTTGTTATCGTTTAGGGAGAGTAATGAACGCTTTCTTGTGATGGTGATGATGGATTTAGCTTGGATTAGTAGTTCTCTTTCCCAAAACCTGGTCGATAGTTTATCTCGTTTGGTCCGTTTGCTTCATCGTTTGAGTCTGGTCTTGATTCGTTTGGAGTTAATTTCTCTTTGGAAGTGTCCTAGAGTGTTGCTGCCCGTGCCAAGTATTATTAATTTCCTATCAAGTTCCCTCCCTTTAGCACCCTCTAACTCTGTCTTGGCTGGTAATGGACGCCACGCTAACAGAGTAATGGTTTGTTTGGGCTGGCTTGATAGTTACCTTTGTCGAGATCAGATGCTAAGTTTACTTTGGACTCTATACAAGACTCTCTTACCCAACCATAGGCAATTGGCCTTTAGAGTTAAGAAGACCGGCATTATGACCCTGTCTCTACGGAGTAGGTGTTACCGAAGCTTTTTCAACTCTCTACCTACCCATTCACCAATTATCGAGTTCAGTCATGTGTTAATCTATTGCTTGGATAATTTGCAATCTTCTGGTAGGTTGGAAAAGTACGGCATTATGACCATGTCTTCAAGAGGTGGTTACCGTCTCTTTTTCAACCTCGTTAACCCGTCAGCCTCCTCCGCGGAGCACCTTTCCAAAAGCTCGGATGCATTGTTTATACACCAATTGCCCAAAAGGGTGAAGAAGAACGGCATTATGATCCCGTCTCTACGGAGCGGTGGTTACCGAAGCTTCTTCAACTCTCTATCTCCGCCTCCCCTGAAAACCAAGCTCATTCATGTGCAAATCAAAGAGTTCAGGTACAATACTCAAACATTTAATAGCTTGAAGAAGAATGGTATTATGACCCCGTCTCCGAGGAGAGGTGGTTACCAAAGCTTCTCCAACCTCTTTTATCCGACAGCCTCCTCCGTGGAGCATTTTCTCAAAAGCTCGTTTGCGTTATTCGCGCGAGCCGTATATGACCATCCGTTGGTCGAGGATTTCGCGAAGCCCGTCTTCATGGTCGAATCCGCTATGGCCTCAAAAGATTCTTCAAACTTTGCAAACCTTTTTAAGATGAGCATCATTTTGGAAAACTCATGGAGCCTTTATCTTTATTCCTATTGCATTTCCTTAGCTACAGCTTGTATGAACTTCCCTCTTTTGAGGTTTTAAGTGAATGAATGCTTGTTTGACCAAAAAAAAAAAAAAACCAAAACTAAAATCAGAATATATTGTTTTATTCTGTATAGTATTGTTCATAAACCAAAATTCTTAAAACTGAAAAATTTGAACTCAAACCGAACCAAAATCCGAAATTGAAGATTGGCCATTAGTAATATTGTAATATGCAACAATGAAATGTTATATTTTGATTTAAATTGATATTTCAAAAAGAAAAAAAAAATCATACTTAACTCCTCAAGTACTTAGTCATAAAACAAATACGATATATTTTTAAATTCCCTAAGTAAGCTGACACAAACAAAGAAAAAATAAAATCAAACCCTAAGTAACAGTAATCACTAATCACCCAACACATTTGACATTCCTAAAATCCAAACTAGAAACAGTAAGGCCCAAATAAAAAAAGCCCTGGACTCATAAAAGAATCACAAATTTCACTAGATCAAGATCAACGGCTACAATAAGAAGTCAATAACAATCGAACGGTTATTAATCAATCCCATCACTTAAACCGACTATCTCAATTCTCAAAACCTATCCGCCAAAGAACTCACAGCGCAATTTAGCAACTCTCATAATACTTTTAATATCCCGAAATTACCCTTCTATGTTAAAACGGCACTGCGTATATAAACAAAACTCTTTCTCCTCCGTTTCTCAAAACCGAGAGCAAAAAAAAAAACAAAGAAGACGAAAGAGAGAAAGAGTTTTTCTTTTTTTTCTAGGTTTTTGATTTTCAATGGCGACGACGACGGGACATGAGAGATCAAAGACTCTTATCAATTTCTCGTTACCGAAGTTATGGGGGACTCAACGACATCTAAGGTGTGTGAAGGGTGATGATTCCGACGGTGGTGGTGGTTCTAGCTCCGGCGGTGATCAACGAATCCGTCGCCGATCTTCGAATTTCGAATTCGATCATCAGAATCGACGATTGATGGTTGAATCATCGGAGAAAGAAGGAATCGAAGAGTTTAGAGAGAAGATTATGTTAGATCTTAGACACGTTGCTGATAAGATGACGGAATCGATATTTAGGGAACAAGTTCTCGGCGAAGAAGAAGATAAAGAGATGGAGATAGAGAGGGAGGATTCTCCACCGGAGAGAGAGGTTTCACCGCCGTCACCGCCGGAAGCGACGGGAGCAACGGTGGAGGTACGGCCGTGGAATTTGAGAAAGAGAAGAGCAGCTTGTAAAGCTCCGATTTCGGGAATCGATTCGGGATCAGTGATTGAGGAGAATAAACGAGTGAATTCGTCGATATTAGGAAACGAATTGGGGAAAGATCGGAGTAGATTGTACTATACGTTGTCGAAGAAGGAGATTGAAGAAGATTATATGAAGATGATGGGGCAAAAACCACCGCGGAGACCGAAGAAACGATCAAGAAACGTTCAAAAACAGATCGATGTAAGTCGAAAATTCGCAGTTTTTTCGATATTTGTTGGTGAAGTGTTCTGATTTTGGTTTTGTTTTTGTTTTTTACAGTTGTTGAATTTTGGTTCTTATATAACTGAAATCACTGAAGATCTCTACAATGTTCCAGACCAAGCTGAGAAGGGAAAGGTATGATCTTGTTTTTGACCTTTTTTTCATAGTGTTATATAAAGTGTGTTTGCTAAATTTTGGTAACTGATTCTGCAGAGATGATGATAATGATGGATTGGAGACTTGGAGTTTGTGAATTGCTCAATTTTGCCTTTTTCTAATTATTCTTTGTTAGTTTTGGGTTTTCTAATGTTCATTGGCTGAGAATAACCTGTACAAAAGATATGGGACAAAAGTAGTTCTGTTTCATTGGAACTTCATTGGAACATACTCTTCATTGTAAAGAAAAGCCAATATTAAACAATAATAGGATTTAACATTTTTTTTTTTTTATCAAATCTTGCCTTGTTTGATGATGATACAAGCTTAGATTTTGACTTTTTTGTGTGTCGTTTCCCATTCCTCTTATCATCTGCTTATTGATGATTGAATTACCGCAACCGGGTTACCTATTATCGTCTATGATCGATTACTAACCTTCCGAGGGATTCACTACGATAATGTGTTAAGACTTTGTGAGTTTACCAGTCATGAGTTTTGTTTTTGGGTGCATATTGTATATTAGAAGGTTCAGTCATCTTTGGCAAAAGCGTGTGTACATGGTCAATGAAACGCAATGTCAATAATTTTGTTTCAAGGAGTGTGTACTAAATTATTCCATGTGGGGGTCATTCACTTTCCCGCGTTGGATTGTTTTCCGGTCTGGTTCAATTCAGTTAACCAGTTGATATGGTTGAGTTTATATTAAAGTCTATGGCAATGGTTCAATTTAGTTAACCAATGGCTATGCTCGACTTTATTTTAAAGCTTATATTGATGATCATATAGCGTGAGTAGTGAGACAAAAGTAATTTGAGTGTTTTAGAAAATTAAAAATATTTTTAAAATATAACTATAGTAAAAAATTTAAGAGGATAAAAGTTTGTTATAGTTAAAACGTTGAGTAATTTCAAAAAGATGGTCTATTGAATAAAAAAAATGAAAACTATAGTAAAACCAAAAACTATATGTAATGTATTTGATTACCTTAAACCAATTTAAAATCCAAACCGGAGGTACAAAATAGTATCATATGGATAGATTTTAGCATTACATGTTAGTATATCCCGCCTTAGAATTTTAATTATGTGGAATGTAAGATAGAGAATGTGACGTCAAGAAAATAACTTGTTTGGAAGTTTTGGTAAATATAGTAATTTAGATATTATAGAGAATTTCAATATTGTATTCTAATTCTACTTATATTTTTAGTCCAAACTATAGGTATTGATGTTATACATTTTCTTTTATTCAATACATGTAATTGAAAGGTATATATTGAGATAAAATGCAACCACACTGGCATTTAATTTTTTCGATATCTCATTTACAATTTATATACAACTAATCATATTCATATTTAGGCCCGACCATGGGTCAAAACCCATGAAACAAGAGATTTGAGATTTAGGCATTAAACTCTATAAATAAATTTATGGGCATTATATCTAAGGAAATTGTTGTGGTAGAGTTTCCATATGTTTCCACTTTCCACTTTCAAGTCGCCAGTTCAAACCCAAATCTCCAAACTTTCGTAAAAAAAAACAGAAATTCAACTGTTTTATAATGATTTAAATCTTTTTTATTTTTTTATTTTGCTCTAAACAACAAATTTAATCAGGTCACCCGTATCTTACTCCACAATGCTTATTACCACCATTTTCAAGAAGTGCGTAACCGCCACTCATGCGTTCAAAGTTCAAACCAATTTAACCGGTATGTATTATCCCTTATGAACCTGAGGTCCAAATCCAACTCTTAACAAATACAAGAGGTGGCCCTTAAGAGTTCTTTCATTTCATTTAATCTTATGATTAGAAAATGTGGAATGTTGGAGTTTTCCTGGTCGAGCCACTCATTGTTTTGGTGATGACGCAAAAATAAACAAACTTACAATGTCGACTAAATTTACCAAACCCAAGTCTAACGAGCCTAGCCCACCTCTACTACGTCCTCTCGAGCGACGTAAAATGCCAGTCAAAGTCAACCCAAGAATATGAATGGACATATTCCACTATATCACCACGACGATCAATTTTTCTGTCAACAATTCTATGTTTTAATTTTTTGAAAATCATAATCTTTAATTATCTTCACAATTATCTATTTTTCTTTACAAATATCTTCACAAATATCTATTTTTATAAATCTATTTACATGTTGATACTATATATTACTCTAATCCAAACTGCTAATAATCTTATCACAAAGATCCAATCAACGAAGCGTTCCTATGATCTTTTGCTACGGCCTAGTTTGTGAATTATTCTTGTTTTTTGGTTTTTGAAATTACAGACAAAACCCACATGCTGTCTAATCTTCACATGCGCTGTCGATATTTATATTCCATCATTATACAAACAGTAACAAAAATAAAAAAATAAGACATTTCCTGTTTGAATTTTTTTCCCTCTCCGGCCACAAAAAAAAACAAAAGATGTTTTTCACAATTTTGTCTTTGTGTTTGTCTTACCATTACAGAGAGATCCAATGCTGAAAAATCCGTCGGCAACGTTTGAGATAAACGCCGGCGGTGGGAAATTCAGGACCGGACTGACTCGAATTCCACCGTTTCCGTTTCCGAAACTCTTTCTTCCGAGTGGCTTCGAGTGATAAGGGACTGATGAAGAGAGTGAAGATGATCTTCTTAAGGAAGACTTGTGTTTAGGAAGATTGTGAGTCTTGTGAGGTTGATGAGTTTCCTTGGAGAGCAAGTTAAGATTAGGGTTTGGAGTGGAGTTGCTCCGTGAGAGGAAATGAAGCGATCTGATTAGCCCTTTGCTGTTTCGGCTCTTGTCGTAGTTAAGACTTATGCTTCTCTTGAACTGTAAGAATAGTCCTCTTGGCTTGTCTTCGAAATCAGATTCAGGATTCAATAGAAGCTCTTTGAGTCTCATCTTCTTTTCTGGTGCTCTGGATGAGGAAGAAGAGGAGGAAGAAGAAGATGATGATGATGATGAGAGTGAAACTGATCTTTGAACCCGAAAGGTTACTGTCTGGGGAAAAGATTCGTCTTTCTTGATCTGTACGGGAAGAATCTTGCCTTCGGAGAAGAGTTCATCAGCCGGAGACACTTCTTGAATAGAACAACTTGAGCCAAAGCAGAAATCGAACTCCGAACCTGAATCAAGAAGTGTTGAGTCTAATCTGACTTCACCGTCGTCCGTTGAGTCTAGATCGTAGGAGAATGAGATTCTTGGACTGATTCCAGAACCAGAAGCCTCCGAACAACAAACGTCAATAGCCATAACCTCTCTATCTCTCTCTCTTACACACACCTAGCTCTCTCTATAAAGATACCTTAGTTTGATATCATTCAAGAGGCAAAGCCTCGGGAAAAGAATAAAGAGACCTTGAAGATTTGAAAAAAAAGGTATTAAAGAATGCAGAATGAAGAAGATTTGAAATCAAAATAAAGGAAGAAAAATGAAGATTCCTCAAGTCAAAAATGGCAGCTTCAGCTTTTTTTTTTGTTTTGCTTTTGTAGATTGTCTTACGAAGGAGACAATAGGAGATGGAGGGACTAATCAGTTGTTGTAGTTTTCACAATAAAACAAAAAGAAAAAGAAGAGGAACAGCTAAAGCAAGATAAAGGAAGAGGGAAAGAACAAAATAAAATAGAAAAGTAATGTTGAGATTTCAACCTATTTGCCAAAACCAATATTAAAAGAAAGATAGATACCAATGATATTTGTCCTCGTCTGTAAAAGATGCTTAAAATGTATGTAGCCGAGCAGTTTATGTTGCATAAACTATTGTTGATGTGATTAGCATAATCCATATAAGACAAATTATATTTATAATTAAAATGTTAATGATTAGTTGAATCTAACCAACTTTTAATTGATTTTTTTTAACTGTTTGAAAGATGAAATTTTATTTAATCAAGAATGTGTCTTACACCTATGATGCAAGTCGTACGAATACACTGAACGGGGATCACTTTGAGGTCCTCGAATTGCAAACTAATACATAAACCAAAAAAATTTGAATTAGATAAAATAGCAACTGAGATTCTGTGTTTTAAGTAAATATGATTAATGGAAAAATTATCATTAGTAAGAGCAAAAATGTATAGTTCACAATTCGATAAAATTTATAAAGCTATTTTATTGAATTATACGTATCTTTAATCGTGCGTTAATGTATAATCACAACCTATTAAGATCACACATTTATATGAGAGAAAAAAGATATACATTTGATAAATTAGATTTTAACAAAGAAAAATAACAATCTGGTGTTGAGGGAAAAATTGGGCTTTTGGGATACAAGGCCCAATTCAAGAAAGGAAGCCCGCTCCAAAAAAAGGTTTCGGAGAGACCCAGGCCCAGAAACGATAAAGCCCAGGCAATATCACCGCCTCATAGGCCCGCCACGTCGTCATATTCAAGGGCAGAACCGGTAAAAACCGTCAGGGTATGCCCTACCCAGCAGGGTTATAAAAGAAGGACAACCAGTCCTGTCACATCCATCGAAAATCACGCTGACACGGCAAGGACACGAAGAGCTCGGCTAGGACACGAAGAACTCGGCTAGGACACGAAGAACTCGGCTAGGATACGAAGAGCGATCTCAGTCTAGAAAAGGAAAGCGACCTCAAGCTTCATTCAGCTCGGAATACGACCTACAGTTCGGCCTCATCAACGACCTGAAATCTTTAATCCGAAGTCATTCATTTCGGCTCGCCTAACGCCATTTGTACTCTCGGCTCGAATTGTTTTGGGAGATTCTTTTTACTTCCCTAGAGAAACCCTATTTCGTACTTGTGTGATTCGTGTATCAACAGTTGGCGCGCCAGGTAGGGGGATAGCTCAGAGATTTTTCCAGTCAACAAAACGAGCCCGCGACAACACGATGGCAACCGATGGAAACCAGGGAACCAGCACGGGCGTCCGAGATGACAACGCATCCTCCACGGGAGGAGAGACAGTGACGCCGATCCCGCCAGGAGTACTTCCGACAAGGAAGGCTACCCATACCTCGGTAGCTATTCCCGCATCGTTACCTCAGACGCCCGAGGGGCCAGCAGAAGCAGTAAGGAACGAAATGCCCCCGACACACCAGGAGGAAGGCGAACCGACCTCTCCCAGCAGACGACGTCCAACGAACCTCGAGGAAACCCGTGCAGAACGGCACGCTGCGGCACCAACTCCCGCCGAGCCAAACCGACTGCTCCAGAACATCCTCGACCATCTAGGTCGACAGGACGCACGAACAGATGCTCGGTTCGCATCTCTGGCCGCGGCTCAAGCGTTCTCCATGGACGAGATCAACCGTCTGCAAACGAGTCGAAGTGCAAACGCGGTCTACACCCCATAGCTCCCCGGACGTCCCTAGGCAGCTCAGCCCGTCCAAACCATGGGCAGCACCAATCCGCGAGATACGGAGATCGCCGAACTAAGACGCCCTGTCCTAGAAATGAGCTCGAAAATTCACCGTGCCACTAGCTCGGCTCCGGAACTCGACTGCGTACTCGAGGAAACTCAGCAAACCGCTTTCACCCGAAGAATCACAAGCGTTTCCGTCCGCGGATCCAAGAAAATCAAATTAGAAAGGTACAACGGAAAAGGCGACCCTAAGGAATTCCTGCAATCTTTCAGCGTGGCGATTAACCGCGCCGAGCTTACTCCAGAAAACTTCGAGGCAGGGCGGTGCCAGATCTTCATCAAACATCTCACGGGCCCGGCTCTCAACTGGTTCTCCCGCCTAAAGCCAAACACAATCAGCAGCTTCAACCAATTGTCATCGTCATTCCTAAAGCACTATTCACCTCTTATCGAGAATCAGACGTCCAACGCCGACCTGTGGTCCCTATCACAAGGCCCCAAGGAGTCACTCCGATCGTTCATCGATCGCTTCAAGGTAGTGGTGACCAAAATCACCATCCCTGACGAGGCCACGATAGTAGCCCTCCGCAACGCCGTCTGGTACGATTCAAAATACAGGGATGATATCACTCTTCATGCTCCGAACACTCTCGAAGACGCACTGTATAGAGCTTCGCGATATATCGAGCTCGAAGAGGAGCGGCTCGTCCTAGCCAAAAAGCATAACCCGCCCAAAACATCTGTAACTAAGGAGACTGCTTCAGCCATACCTAACGCAGCAAACAACGCCGAGCCAAAACAACATTCCAAAGGTAACATCGGCCAGGCACGACGACCCACGACCTTCGTCGTTAATAGCGAGACACCATCACCAAGGCCGTGGAATAAATACGTAAGAGACACCGATTCCCCGGCACCGACGTCAATATTCTGTGAATACCATAAAAGTAAAGCACACGCCACTGAAGATTGCCGGTATCTGCAAAGTTTACTGATGGCAAGATATAAGAACGGAAGCATCGCGATCGAGTGTGACCGCACCCAAGGAGGTAAGAATCAAAAACGTAACGAGAGCACGGCCCGTCAATACCTGTAAGACCATGCGAAAACCGAGGAAGTCGAGGATGCGAATGATCCCGCCAAAAGACCTCGGAATGGGAAGGCGCCAGCCGAAGCTCCAGTGGTCGTCAGACAGGTCCGAATGATAATGGGCGGACTGCAAAACTGCAACGATTCTGTTCGGTCAATCAAACAATATCGTAAAAAAGCTGAAATGAAGGAAGTATGGCCGTCCACGAGCGCACCACCAACTACGCCCGTCGACGAACCCATATCGTTTACCCAATCCGACCTGGAGGGCATCGATACACCGCATAACGATCCTCTCGTCGTCGAACTCATTATCGGCGATAGCCGAGTAACTAGGGTGCTCATCGATACTGGAAGCTCAGTCGACCTCATCTTCAAGGACGTTTTGGCTATAATGAACGTCAGCGATCGGCAAATAAAACCCGTATCGCGCCCGTTGGCCGGATTCGATGGTGACTTCGTAATGATAATCAGAACGATCAAGTTGCCCGTATTCGTCGGAGGAACGATCTCGTGGGTCAAGTTCGTCGTAATTGACAAGCCCGCAGTTTACAACGTTATTTTGGGGACACCCTGGATGCATCAACTGCAGGCGATCCCGTCCACATACCACCAGTGCATCAAGTTCCGAATGCACAACGGAGTGTTCACCTTGAGAGGGAATCAACAGGTCGCAAGAACATGTTTTCTCATCGAACACAAGAACCGCGTCGCTAAGAAGTTATAGCAATTAACGATGCCAGCATCGTCGACCGTCCCGACCCTAAAAAAGTCCCTTGAAGAGCCTCAACTGAGCAGGACAGAACAAGTGAATATTGACGAGACGGATAAGACAAGATGCGTCGCAATCGGTGCCGAGATAGTACCATCGGTTAAAGAACCACTCATCGCATTTCTAAAACAGAATTCTAAAATGTTCGCCTGGAGCGTAGACGACATGATAGGCATCGACCCTATGATCGTTACGCACGAGCTTAACGTCGACTCAACCTATAAACCGGTAAAGCAGAAAACGCGAAAATTGGGACCGGAGCGAGCCAAGGCCGTAAATGATGAAGTCGACAAGCTGTTGAAGGCTGGCTCGATAACTGAGGTAAAATATCCGGAATGGCTAGCGAACCCGGTCTTGTAAAGAAGAAGAACGGCAAATGGCGTGTTTGCGTAGACTTTACCGACCTCAATAAGGCGTGCCCAAAAGATAGCTACCCGCTCCCTCACATCGACAGGATAGTCGAAGCGACCGCCGGGAACGAACTCCTGTCCTTCATGGATGCATTCTCGGGATACAATCAAATCTTCATGCACAGAGATGATAGGGAAAAGACCTCGTTCATCACAGACCGAGGAACCTATTGCTACAAGGTGATGTCATTCGGCCTCAAAAACGCCGGTGCGACGTACCAACATTTGGTAAATAAGATGTTCGCTGATCAGCTCGGACGAACCATCGAAGTTTACATAGACGACATGCTGGTAAAATCTCTAGTAGCAGCCGACCATGTCCGACACCTAAGCCAATGCTTTGACGTGCTGAACGAATACAATATGAAATTAAACCCAGCGAAATGCACGTTCGGCGTAACATCCGGCGAGTTCCTGGGGTACATGGTCACGCAAAGGGGGATCGAGGCTAACCCAAAGCAAATTCGTGCAATCCTCGATCTGCCTTCTCCAAAGAACGCACGCGAGGTGCAGCGACTAACAGGACGGATCGCTGCTCTCAACCGCTTCATCGCCAGATCGACGGACAAGTGCTTACCCTTCTATAACCTCTTAAAAAGGAAGGACAAGTTTGCATGGGATGAGGCGAGCGAAAATGCTTTTAACGAACTCAAACAATACCTCACGACGCCCCCGGTTCTCGCTAAGCCAGAAAACGGTGAAACGCTATTTCTATACATTGCGGTATCAAGCTCGGCCGTGAGCGGTGTGCTTGTTAAAAATGACCGAGGCGACCAGAAGCCGATCTTTTACGTCAGCAAGTCCCTCATCGAAGCCGAGACACGCTATCCCACAATGGAAAAAGCTGCGCTAGCGGTCGTAACATCGGCCAGGAAATTACGTCCCTGCTTTCAATCCCACACAATCGCCGTTCTCACAGACCAACCACTACGAACCGCCCTACACAGTCCGAGCCAGTCCGAGAGAATGGCTAAATGGGCAATCGAGCTCAGCGAATACGATATGGACTTCAGGACCCGACCAGCAATGAAATCGCAAGTGTTAGCCGACTTCCTTATTGAACTACCGCTCATTCCGAAAAACCTAAGCGGCGACCCCGAGCCAGGTGACCCTCAGAACGGCGTCTGGACGCTGTACGCCGACGGGTCCTCGTCATCGCATGGCTCTGGCATCGGCATACGACTGGTCTCACCAACCGGGGAAATAATCGAGCAATCGTTTCGTCTGCGCTTCACGGCAACAAATAATGTCTCCGAATACGAAGCACTCATTGCCGGTCTACGTCTCGCTCTAGGAATGAAGATCAAACGAGTCCAAGCATACGTGGACTCACAGCTCGTCGCAAATCAATTTAGCGGTGAATACGAAGCCAAAACCGACACTATGGAGGCGTACCTCAAGGTCGTCAAGAAGTTATCCTCACAGTTTACACATTTCGAACTAACCAAAATCCCACGAGGAGATAACGCGCCGGCTGACGCTCTCGCCGCATTAGCATCCACGTCGGACTCCGACCTTCGACGTGTTATCCCGGTGGAAAGCGTAGACCGACCAAGCATCGAAGCAATCGATATTGTCAATTTCGTCGGAACAAATCACGATCCAGACGCAGCCGACCCAACCGACTGGCGGGTCGAAATACGCGATTTCCTCACCGACGGAACGGTCCCAACGGATAAATGGGCAGCACGTCGATTACGCATCAAAGCCGCAAAGTACACGACCTTGGAAAATTGCCTCCTAAAGCTCAGCGCAACCGGAGCATGGCTGAACTGCCTACACGGCGAGGATATCGCAGAAATAATGAAGGAAACACACATGGGGGCCGGCGGCAACCACTCCGGCGGACGAGCTCTCGCATTACAAATCAAAAAGCTAGGTTTCTATTGGCCGACCATGATATCGGACTGTAAGGACTTCGCGGCTAAGTGCGACCAATCTCAAAGACACGCGCCCTCGATTCATCGACCAACCGAACTACTCAAGGTCGGTGCGGCACCATATCCGTTCATGAGGTGGGCCATGGATATCGTCGGCCCGCTACCGGCCTCCAGACAAAAACGGTTCATTCTAGTCATGACGGATTACTTTACTAAATGGGTGGAAGCCGAATCGTACGCGGCAATACGAGCCAAGGATGTCCAGAACTTCGTTTGGAAATATATAATATGCCGACACGGCCTTCCATACGAAATCATCACCGATAATGGCTCGCAATTTATCTCGCTGACATTCGAGAATTTCTGTGCGAGCTGGAAAATTTGTCTAAACAAGTCCACACCGATTGGGATACAAGGCCCAATTCAAGAAAGGAAGCCCGCTCCAAAAAAAGGTTTCGGAGAGACCCAGGCCCAGAAACGATAAAGCCCAAGCAATATCACCGCCTCATAGGCCCGCCACGTCGCCATATTCAAGGGCAGAACCGGTAAAAACCGTCAGGGTATGCCCTACCCAGCAGGGTTATAAAAGAAGGACAACCAGTCCTGTCACATCCATCGAAAATCACGCTGACACGGCAAGGACACGAAGAGCTCGACTAGGACACGAAAAACTCGGCTAGGACACGAAGAACTCGGCTAGGATACGAAGAGCGATCTCAGTCTAGAAAAGGAAAGCGACCTCAAGCTTCATTCAGCTCGGAATACGACCAACAGTTCGGCCTCATCAACGACCTGAAATCTTTAATCCGAAGTCATTCATTTCGGCTCGCCTAACGCCATTTGTACTCTCGGCTCAAATTGTTTTGGGAGATTCTTTTTACTTCCCTAGAGAAACCCTATTTCGTACTTGTGTGATTCGTGTATCAACATCCGGAAAAAAACTTCAATTGTATCATAAATAAATTAGATAATCTATTGATTCTTGTTCTTTTCATCTTCCAAAGAAGATAATAGTGTAAATAATATGAAGGAGATAAAAATGTAGGGGAAGAGAGTATAATAGAGGCTGTACGATACTTTTCGTGGTAGAATTGTGTATTTTACAACTGAAAATATAGATAAAATTTACAGTAAAAAATAATGATAATGAACTCCATATTAAGTTATATAGGCAAATTGTAATGCCCCGACCGTCCCTATCTGTAGGTCCCACATCTTCTCTCGGGTCCATGGGTCCACCCCTGTCCGACGGCCGGGAGGCTTTAAAGATTTGTTACCGACCCTACAAATCACCCCATGATCTTTTCTTGTGTGTTATCCTCACTCACACAGTTCCGACAATCACTTCCCGGAAGGTCACTCATCCTGAAACTACTCTACCCTAAGCACGTTTAACTGTGGAGTTATCTCAGGACGGTTGACCGAAAAGAAATGTGCACTTTGGTGACATAGGTGGCCAAATCAATTCATATAAACTTCTCTGCATACACCACCACATTCACCTCTCTGCATGCACCACCACACTCTTGAAACCGGCCGGGGTGTTACACAAATGTTTTTTTGACTTTCGTAACATCAATTTCATTTTAAACTTTTGTTTTTGGTAGTAACTATTTATTTCTTCTTTGGTAGTAGAATTTCAAAGTAAGTAATATAATATGATCACCTAGTGATTCCTTCTATTTATCTTTCACCTTTTTGTTGGAAATGACATCTGATAATAGTGTCTGACTGTCTGCATTTGAATCTACATAGTACCACAATTATTAATAACCAAGGGTATCATTTGATACATTGTACTTGATCATTGCCATATCATATCTCTCAGATATTTTAATATATTTTTCACTATTACATAGATATGTCTGTAAAGGACAGTAAAAATATCCACTAAGAAAAATTTAACCACATATTAAAAAGAAAATTTAATCAGCAATGCACGTTTTCTGATTTGATACATTGCAGCTATAAAGTCGCCCAATGATCTGAAATATTTTGTATATATAATTTAAGATCAATCGTTGGATCAATAATACTTGCATCTATATATAAAATGAATACTTATTGCTGGCGACACCATTATAAATGAAGTCATTTTCTCTAATCATGTGAAGAGAATATAGATCACGTACGTGACTATAATAATCTCTTTAGCAGTTATTGATTATACAAATGCGACTAGCGAGCATGTGTTTTGGGGTTTGATCCGATCTCTAACCGAAAGATTTGAGAACAACGTACAAGATCTAGAGAAGCATCTTTGATTTTGTTATATTTTAAATTGATTTTGGTTTTGAATGGTAAATTGGTAATCATGCTAGCGTCTTGTTCAGGTGAACTGTTGCATTATACAAAAAAAGTTGATACGTTGTTGTGAATGTATTTGTGAATGTATTTGTTAAGTCTGGCCCATTTTTTTTTTTCTTTCAGCGATTCTTTTCAATTTTTTTTTTTGCGATGGGTTTAGAAACCTAAAACAAAGTTTGCGATAGTATTTGTTCAAATGTCTAATTTGTTTGCATAAATATTTGTTGAATATTTACAGCCCAAACCGGTTAAAACTTAAAACCCATTACGTAATAGAATATAATTGAATAAACCCAAGAAGCCCATGATTAGTAGAATAAACCCAAGAAGCCCATGAGGAGATGCAGAGAACGGCGAGGGTTCACAAATAGAGAATAAAAAGGCAGTATTTTTTATACAAGTTACCTAAAATTTATGTTGCTGTTAATTTTGAGAGAAATCTCTGGGAAAAGATTGTGTGTTGTGAGAACTGAGAACTGATCAGAAGCAATTTTTGGTTTTAAAACTACATAAAAATACGAATAACCAAATTTCTATGGAGCTCTTTCTCAAGATTGGTTTGGATAATAAAACCGCAAGAAAAACAATCGACGACAACGAGCTGACGTCCGATCTAACCGCCATCATCTACGAGGTCAAAAACTATCTCTTTTATCACCATAACAATAGCTACTTACTTACTTATTACTTGATCGAATTCTATTGACTTAGGGTTTGTCATTTGTGTACAGGCTGGTGTGTGTGATGGATGTGACAAAACAACTGGGAATCTACTTTACTCTGTGAGTTATTCTCTGATTCTTAAACCCTAAATTACTTGATTGTGTTAGCCAATAATGTTAGAAACGTATAATGTTGTGGTAGGTTGCAACTAGGCTTCCTATAAGTGCTCGTATGCATCATTCAAAGTTGATCAAATGCATCATGTCCTTTAAGTTACCAGCCCAGAGGAATGCTGCAATTAAGTATTTTGAAGATATTGAATCTAAAGACTTCAACATGAATGAATTTGAAGAAGCATGTGGTGTTGGTACGTAATAATTTTCGATGCAATCTTTAGCTTGAATGGTGTATTGAGTTAGTGACAACTTGAAGTTGATAGCTTCATTATTTTGTTGGAACAGGGGTTGAAGTTTTAGCAGAAGATATTGAAAAAACTGTTAGTAAAATCTTTGAAGAGAACATGAACTCAATATTGGAGAAGCGATACCGAACTAGTGGTTAGCTCTTTACATCGTTGTCCAAGATATCGTTGTTCTCCTATTCAACGTTTTTTTTTTCACACAATGTGATGCATCTATGTTTTTTGTAGAGGGTAAATTATTGGGAGATGTCTTGAAAAAGTTACCTTGGGCAGATCCTCGGATTGTACAGGTTAGCAAATTCAGTTTTCTTGGTTGGAACATGATGGTTTTTCTGTTGTTTTTTGGTAGCCAAAATACCGATCTTCGATTTCCTGATTGAGATTTTTGTGTGACAGAAAGTCATAGGTGAAAAAATGTATGAATTGCTTGGTGAGAGAACAGCTGCGGATAATGAGAAACCGGTTAAAAAGAAGGAGAAAAAGGAGAAGCCTGCCAAAGTTGAGGTGAGTGTAGCTAATCTTATGGTTTTTCTTAATGGTTTAAATTGCGAGTTTATATGTTTTCATATTTGTGTCTTAATTTTCGGGAAAGAAGGCTCCTGCGGAAGTTGCTTCGAAGCCATCTGAAGAGGAGCTCAATTCCTTTTCCATATTCCCTAAGCCAGAGCATAATATTAAGGTAATAACTTTTTCTATGAAGGTTCCTTTGCACACTTACATTTGTATTTTCGTCCTTACATCCAAGTAGTAGTTGCATAAGGACATGAATAGAACGTATATTTTTTTATGACTTATGAGTTCTTATGGTGGTGATGTGGAACAAAGCTGCTTATAAACTGTTGAAAATGTTTTTTTCAATATAAGATGAAAGATATTAATGTGTATATTGATGAAAGAATTTTGACAAAAGCAATTTTGTTGTAACCTTGTTATAATTATTTCCATCAGGTTCACACAGAGGTTTCTTTCAGTGACGGTTCTGTTCTTAGATATAGTAATACTAGAGAACTTCTTGATAAACATTTGAAGGTGACTGGAGGGAACGTTTACACCCGCTTCCCACCTGAACCGAACATATCTTCATATCGGACATGCTAAGGTAAAGTCTATATATATATGAATGAGGTTTTAGATACTTTCTAATGGGGATAATGTTGTATATATGCTTGGTAAGACCAACATGTTTTTGGTTATATTGTGATAAACAATGTGTTACTTTCAGGCTATGTATGTTAATTTTGGTCTTGCAAAGGACCGAGGTGGTTGCTGTTATTTACGGTAAGATTTCTTGGCTTGTGGCATGGTTTTTTCTTTTATAAAAACATTGCTTAGCATTGTTTTCAACACATGATTTCTCAGGTTTGACGATACAAATCCGGAGGCCGAAAAAAGTGAGTATATTACTCACATTGAAGAAATTGTTAACTGGATGGGTTGGAAACCCTTCAAGGTATTATCATCTTTATATGCACAGAAGCTAAGTATTACTCTGTTCAAAGTTGTCTCACATGTACCTTTATTTTTCTTGTAGATTACATACACTAGTGATTATTTCCAAAAGTTGTATGACTTGGCAGTGGAGTTGATCCGGAGAGGCCATGCATATGTTGATCACCAGGTAGAACCGAACTAATTTTATCTGATAGTGGATTCTTAACATGGTTCGGTATCGAAATCTGCGTAGAACTGATCCTAACAGTATATTGTTTTGTGATTTAAGACTGGAGAAGAGGTAAAAGAGTACAGAGAGAAGAAAATGAACAGCCCTTGGAGAGACAGGCCTATTGAAGAATCTCTGAAACTTTTTGACGAAATGAAACGAGGATTGTTCGAAGAAGGGAAGGCGACGCTACGAATGAAAATGAATATGCAGAATGATAACTTTAATATGTATGATCTTATTGCATATCGTATAAAGGCAAGTGAAAAATATTAATCTCTTGTTGCATAATCCAAATTCTCTTTTCATGTTTCGGTTGGTGATTTGACGTGTTCATTATATTGTTTGCAGTTTACGCCTCATCCACATGCCGGTGACAAATGGTGCATCTACCCAAGCTATGATTATGCTCATTGCATTGTTGATTCTCTTGAGAATATAACACATTCGGTTAGTCTTTTTTTCTAAAAACTTCGTTCTATTTCATTGCGGTACGAGTTGTTTTTAAGTTTCGATCTTGAAATGATGCAAGAATGGCTCACCTTTTACTTCCAAGACCATCAAAATTTTATTTGCATCTCTGATATATTCTTATGTGTATATGTTATGTAGCTATGTACACTCGAATTTGAAACTCGACGTGCTTCTTACTACTGGCTATTACATTCTTTGGGACTCTACATGCCTCATGTGTGGGAATATTCACGGTTGAATATAACAAACACCATGATGTCAAAGCATAAGGTTGGTCAAAATTGGAACCTGATACATTCATTAACAAGTATGAAGGTTTTATGTTCTAGAGAATCATCCTAATTGTATTATTTTGTTGTAGTTGAATCAAATTGTGACAGACAAGCATGTCGATGGTTGGGATGATCCGCGTCTGATGACACTTGCTGGTTTGAGACGGAGGGGTGTGACTCCAACCGCGATCAATGATTTTATAAAAGGAATTGGCATTACCAGAAGGTTCATTTATGTGGCTAGCTGGTTTATTTCATTACTAATTCTTACTTATCCTAGTTATTTTGTTTTAATAAGCCATCAATTGTATATACTGCAGTGATGGTAGTATAATAAATATGAATCGCCTTGAGAGTCATATTAGAGTGGAGTTGCATGAAACTGCTCCGCGAACCATGGTGGTGGTTCATCCCCTTAAGGTGGTCATCACCAATATGGAATCCGATAAGGTCATAGAGCTTGATGCAAAAATATGGCCCGAAAATAAGAGTAACGACCCCTCATCCTTCTACAAGGTGAGAACTCTGTTTTAAGAACTCGACACATGATGTGAATGTCACCTTTTTTGTTTTGGTTCTTGTATTAATTTTTTTTTTGGTTTTGTTTCTTATAGGTTCCTTTCTCTAGAGTTGTATACATTGAACGAGGCGATTTTCGATTGAAAGATTCAAAAGATTACTATGGGCTTGCCCCTGGTAAAACAGTCATGCTAAGGTAAATGCAGCGCAACAAAGAGACAAATGCAGCTTTCTTGAAGTAACTAATATGGTTCCTGTTTTGCAGACATGGTTTCCCTATCAAATGCACTGATGTTGTTCTTGCTGATGACAATGAAACTGTTGTTGAGATCCACGCAGAGTATGATCCTGAAAAGAAAACGATACCAAAAAAGGTTCTTCTAACAACACTAGATAGATCTTTACCCTCTTAAAAGCCCCTTTTTTTTTATTCGTGTTTGATATAAAGAGTGATTTCTTTGGCAGGGATTTTTACACTGGGTCGCTGAACCCGCCCCTGGAAAAGAGCCATTAAAGGTCGAAGTTCGGCTATTTGACAAATTATTTTATTCAGAGGTACGCGATTTCTCTGTTTCTTTTGTTTCATGGATCATTGGACAGAGTTGTCACCTTATGCTGTCTTAAAACAATATACAGAACCCGGGAGAACTAGAGAATTGGCTCGACGACATTAACACAAACTCCAGACTGGTAGTTTCAGATGCTTTTGCTGTACCAACACTTAAAGAAGCTGCCCTTGGGGAAAAATTCCAGTTCGAGAGACTAGGTAAATATCAAAACATCCCAAGTGTTTCCTTTTTCGATTGTTTATTGAAATCAAGAGATAGATGATAAATGGGTGTGTTTCTTAACAGGTTATTTTGTGGTTGACAAAGATTCTACCCCAGAAAAGCTAGTCTTTAACCGGACAGTCACACTGAAAGAAAGTTCTAGTAAACCTGGAAAGTGAGAACAGTCAGGCCCGGTCTGGACGACTAGCGGATTAATAAAATGATTAGGGTTTAGGGCCAACAAATTTTTTTTTTTAAAATTCTGTTTTAGAGTAATAGTTACATATTGATGATCACCAAATTTTGATTGTTTACTAAAAATTGTTGTTTATACAAATATTTTTTTAACACAATTTCAATTTTCAACAATTTTAAAAAAAGGTGAAGGTCACAACATTTTGGACAACAATTTTGATTGGCTTGATACGCACGGAATGCAACAACTTTTCTTACCTTTGCTATTTTGTTCATCATCATCTTGAATTTTAAGTGCATTAGAGTTTGTGAAAGTCATTGGTCAAAAATTTTAGCTCGTCGACATACACGAACCATAACCATTGGAAGACTCTTTCTCTATCTGCTATAGTGTGATGTTGATACTTACTGTCCTACAAAGTGGCCGAAAGCTTTGTGGTAAGAGACTAAAGAGAGTTTAGTCTTTTCACGCATGTGATTTTGATTGACTCAAAAATTTGAAAGAGATTGTTGTATTGTGCTATCTTACTTTTTTTCACTCTGCTTTTTTTTAACTCCATCGACATCATTCAATCTTATTTTCTACCTCTACATTGCTCAAAAGTTTAATAATTGGTTCGACGAATGTGGCATTTATTGTGTATGAATATTCTTCAAAGAATCATAGAGGCACATGGAAAGATTACTCGATTTAGGAAGGAATAAGGTGCCATTTGCCTTTTGGATTTAAGGATAATGCTGCTGACGTTATTGTACTCCTTCACTAGACTTGATTCTATGCTCTCTACATGTGTATTAGTGCAGAAGTGCATATGGCATCACTTATCCTTCTATGATTGTTCTTTACTTTTTTTTTTTTTTTTTCAAAATGGGATAGTACAATTTTTTCACATGATGATATCAGGATAACTAGACCCAAAAGAATGTTTTATCTCCAAAATATCGGTCCGATATATATGAAAGAATTTTCTTTTAAAGTATGAATATCGCATGTTACATGTTTTAAAAAATATATTTTTGAGACCATATATATGGTCCAGTAGCTACCCAAAAGTTTAGTATTTCTACACCAAATAATTTGGAGTATATATAATTTTTAAGAATGCAAACTATTACATATTAATAGACACAAAATTTAACAATATTTCTCGAATGGTGCACATAGAGCCGTTTGGCATGATTTTTGTATAAATGTAAAATTATCAATTGTATTCATGCTTGTAGTGTTGATAGAATTGTTCGTTTGTAGAATCGTATGAGGAATCGTGTCTATATAGTATAAAAAAAAAATGTTCGTAAACGATAAAATCATCATTTAGAACAGAATTAAAAATTAGATAGCTTTTAAGTTTTAACATGACAATGATGTAATATATATGGAAAAACATTATCAATCACGAGTTAATTTATAATGGCATCTTTGTGTATCTTCACAAATGCACGTTGCTAATACACAGTCGACATGTGAGATACGAGGTTGGTTCACTATTAGCCGAAACATGAGAATTTCTTCATGTCTTACGTTTGACTAAATTTGATTTTGAATAGTTATGGAAGTGAGGATTTAATTTGTTTGAAGAATGTGAACAAGATGATCTTGGAAACACAGAACAAGAAAATGAGCATATATATGCGTAATACGTGTAACGTGTGGTTCTAAGATTTGGTGCCAAAATAACACTGTTTGCTTTAAGAGATGGTCATAACTTTTGTTGTAAATGTCGTGTTTCATGAACCAAACCAGCTGGTGTTCTTAAGTTGGTGTCTCTTCTTAAACAATCATCTTGACTTTTGACTTTCTCTAGTCTTTCATACTAACCTACCTAACCATATCAACATTAATATAACAGTGCCACTCTACTTCACCATAATTTGTAGTATATCTAACCAAAACGTATCGACTTTTAAAACTCATAGTTTCTTCAAACCAAAGATTAGAACATGGTAAATTAATCTTTCATACGAACTGAAATATTTGGTATTTTCTCCCGATTTTCTTTTCGGGTTAAACCGATGGAACTATCGATTTCGAATTCATAAATTTCGACACCTCATTTCTGTGCATCTCCAAATTCTGTTTATTTTTGGTCTTTCTAATGAAATCAATATAGCACTAGGAATGTTATTTTGGCCTATCTCGACCTTAACAAGCTAATACGGTTCTACGACGATCTTGATTTGAGCTTGATTATTTTAAGATTTAGGTTTGGTCTCACTATCTGGTTGTATATACCAATCCGCAGATAATCAAACTATCCAGACAAAATAAAGATTAAGCATTGGTGATATATATAGACCAAACATGACTTCATTTTATTTGTTTCCAAAACATTTTCTTAAAAGGTGGTTTGATCTTTTATTTTGTCCTCCACAACATCTTTCTATTACAGTCATTAAAGTAAATGTGGTTGCTGTTGTTGAGTTGGGAAAACATGAATTTATGGGATAAAATTTCCAGTACATATTGAGCATTATATAAAATAAAATTGTAAGATGCAAAGAAATGATTTGGCCGGGTGAATTATAGTCTTAAAACAAATTGCAACTAACAATATCCGTAATTAATGAATATTTGACCTATACAGTAATGTTTCTTATCAAATTGGGTCCACGTTACTCATGTCTTTTCTAAAAGTATTTGGCGTTTATCCACCAGTTTTAGATATTTATCTTAAGTCACAATATTATAATTTCGCGTCCACAAGGAATCTGTTTTTTTTTTTTATATGAAAATCTATTTTTTCTTTCTGAAATAATATATCTTTTATGTAGAAAAAACAATTTGTTCATTATTCTAAAAAGTAACATTAAACTTTAAGGAAAGTCGGCCATTTCATACCCGACATAAATTCAAGTGTTCAATTCATACTTAACAGTTTTTTATGTGCTAAAATATACTCAATCTTTTAAAAAATTCAAATTTCTTGAATTTTTAAGGTGATGATGACATGGCAACGATGTCATACAATTCACGTCCTTGGTAAATTCAGGTATGAAATTTGAATTTTTAAAAAGATTGAATATATTTTAGCAGATAAGAAACTGTTAGGTATGAATTGAACACTTGAATATAGGTCGGTATGAAATGGCCGACTTTCCCATTAAAAATTTACATGCACAATGAGTGTGATCTATCGTTCATGACCTCTCAAAAGTGCATCAATGTTTGTTCCAACTTTTAGTGGTACCTTTGGGTTCAAATCATTGTGGAGTTTCCATGTACTTATGAAAGGCTTTTGAAGTGACCTCCAATAATTCGATCCCATTAACAAGACTTCTCCAAAGTCACCTTTCTCTATCATTTTAGTTAAAGCCCTTTTGGATAATTATAATTGATAGGTCCTTTGTCTCTATTATCTTCTTGAACCAACATTGATTACTGCTGGTATACAAAAACAATAAGGCATTGGGATATATAGAATTTATAAATAAAGAGTGCGATCCAAAAAATCTATCATATAAATGATCTTTTGTATGGAAATTAACTATATATGGTTTGGCTAAATGCTAAATAAACTTTATGTAAGAGCATTCAAGAATCAGTACTCTGATTAACTTTTTTTTTATGATGATTTTTTGATTTCACAAAAACGATTTATGTCAATCAAGCCAGCTATCCTGTAATATCGTCAACGGTCTTCCAAAGAAACACATCAAATTTGGTGAAAAGACAGATGAACATGTCTCTATCCCCATCATTTTAATATCTTGGGATAGATCGTCCCTCCTAGCTTTTGGGTTCTTTCACCTGTTGAGGTGAGATTAGATAGGTTCTCATGTTCTCTTTTCACTAAAATCCACACAAGTCCCAAAGATTTCAAGACAAGAGACTACCCTTTACTATTTTTACTCTTTAAGTTTAGTAAAACGTGTCATGTATAAAGTTGACCTGGCTAGTTCATAAATTCCATACACTGATACAAGATTTCATGAATTCAAAGACTTATATAACAAACAAACCAGTAATTACAAATAATTATCAAACGAGTTTTTTCATCAACTAAAACGGAAAGTATAGTAGTATTTTGAGTATTTAGTGACAAAAAGTTGAGACTAATTTAATATCTTTTAATCTCCAATCCTAAAACAATATGATTAAAGTTTCAAACTTCATAAATTCCATACATTGATACAAGGTTTTATGAATTCAAAGACTTGTATTACAAACTATCATTATAAATATTTATCCAACGACTTAGTAGTATTCAAGTACTCGCAACAAAGAAGATACAAATTTAAAATGTTCTAATCTCCAACCCGAAATAATATGGGCAAAAAGGTTCGAAACTTTTTGCTTACTTAAATGACAAAGTATTTTAGTACATAAAAATAAAACCATAGTGGTAGGCTCTACCATCTCATCTCTTGACGACTTAATTAGTCCCTAAACTGCCAAATGTCATCCACATTCCACATGGGATCTTGTGTAACATCCTCGTACGCTGAATAATCATCTGCCATGTGGCATTCCATTGAGATGTCCGAGTTTACCATGTAATCCTCCATGCCAGGGACATAACCTCCCAATTCTTGAACATTACCTTCATGGAAACACATCGAGACATCGATGATATTGGTGTTGTTTTGATCCATAGAGTGTGGAACTGTCGTTAGATGAGACATGAAAGTAGAAGTTGAAGAAGAACCGTCTATGTTGCTGAAACCGGAGTAATCTATATCTTTTTGCATATTCATGGAGTCGTGAGATTGAGAAGGAAGATTAAGAGAGTTGTTGTTGTTTTGGGGACAACAATAAGTAGTAGTTGTGGATGAGTTTTGTTCCATCTTCTCGATCAATCTAGGGACCCAAAAACTACGAACAGCGTCAAAGAACTTGTCGCTGTTAGATTCGATGTTGAGTTGTCGAGCTTGTTTTTGAACTCTTGTTCTCCAATAGTTCTTGATCTCGTTGTCAGTTCTTCCTGGCAAGTACTGTGCAATCTTGGACCACCTTAGAAAACAAATATTCGTTTAGAAACAGGATAAAAAACAAAAGAGTTTTGAGATATGAAAGCGACTCATCCCTCACCTATTACCCCATTTAGAGTGAAGCTCAAGGATTAAAAGTTGTTCTTGAGGAGTTAGATTCCCTCGTCTTATGTCGGGTTTCAAGTAATTTAACCATCTCAATCTACAACTTTTTCCAGTTCTCTTTAGCCCTGTTCTCATTTTTGTTAAAGAAAAAGATTATATTAAATTGAGATATATAATCTCTAATTAAAGAATCAATATCAAGTTCTTGATTAATTACCAGCACATTTAGCGACGTAATTCCAACGACCTTCACCGTTATGGAGAATGTAATTAGTGAGAAGAGTGTCTTCCTCCAAAGTCCAAGGCCCTCTTCTCAGCTCTGCCTCTTCACTTTCTTTAGTGAAGTTCTTCTTCTTCATTGAATTTTCCATCCTTATTTTCAATTTCTTAACTAATGTTTCTCTACTTTGTTTTGTGGGTTTTCGTATCTTTTAAGCTCTATGCATGCATGACTGTATACAGAGAGAGATAGAGTCATAGAGATAGAGAGACTTTTAGGTGCTTTGAGAAGTGAAAGTGAATCCACAGGTTCTTGGGAATTTATAGACTCGTTGTATTGGAAAATGTTGTTACTTTAGCCATCAGCTTGCCTTTTTTCCAATGAAAAATTTATTATCACACGTTTCCAAATTAAAGTAAATATATTTCTGAATTAGTAGCTTCTCGTTTTAACTCATAAAAAAGATTAATTTTTTTAAACATTGTCAAGAACATTTATACATTCTCTCTTTCATAAGAGTAATAGATTACCTAGTCCCTCTGTTTTCAGTCGAGTTTGTGTTATGTAACAAAAATAAAAGTTCGTTTAGATAATAACTATATTAATGAAAAACATGTTTTAATTCATTTTATTGTTATCGCAAAATATGTCATTGACATTTTCTTAATCGCGTCTCTGTTTTAATCTTATGCAAATTTCTAAAAAATATTTTTCGAGCTACCATAATTCAACAGCCAACACATTTGTATATATGCAAACATTTTTTTTGAAATCATCTGGTTTTGGTTTCAGTTATATAATACAACCAAATATGACTTTCTTAAAAAAAAGTTTGTTTATATTTGGATTAGTCGAATCCTGCGATGAACCCTGGTCCAAGTATATAATTCATTAGAAGCATAGAATATATCGATACAGTTTCATTAACTTTTTTTATGTGACGATGAAACAGAAATGGAATTTTGGTGATATAACTATATGGATTAGATGTTCACGTGAAAAGAATATGGAACAGAATTTTGGAAGAAGAAAGTACGATTTAGATTCTTAAATACTAAAAATTAACTATACAGAAAAAGTTTACAATAGTCATTTTCATGATATGCCAAAGAATTCATTTTAACTCATACCTCTGTATTGTAGTCATTTTTCTTTCTTCTACTTCTAAAATTATCTTTAGTTTTATAAAAATTTTGGTTTTTCTATTTGATAACGTTACTTAATAAGTTAATATTGATGTTTAATTAACCTAGTGTCTAGGCCATAACATAATCATTGGTATAGGAAGAATCATACATGTTCTTATTCGAGCCAAACAAAATATTACAAAACTTAATAAATCATTGTCCCACAAATTATTGATTAAATAAAAATTTGAACCAAAACAATCCAAAAATAGGAACAAACACTCCGAATGTTTGATCAAGAGTCAAGACTTTTAGTTGAGTAGACTGTGGTCGATGTATCATCATCCGTATGTTACATGTTGTTGTGAAGCAAAAAGAAGAAAAAAAAAAAAAAACTAAATGCTTTTCACTTATCTAAGATTGTTATTGTGAAAAGAAAAACAGTATATGATCACTGACAAATATCAGATTTACACAACTTTTAGAATGATATAAATTGCAACTTTGATGTAAATGGTAAAACTAGAAGACAGCTATTTTTAACGACAATTTCTAGAAGCCAGCTAATTTATGCCGACTTAGTATTAGCATATTATCCTTTCAAACTTTGAATATTCAAAGATTCCTCTTCCTATATCAGTTTTCATTAGCTCATATTGTATTTGAAACTATTTTGTTAAACAAATAATAAATTTGGAAAAATAAGGAAGGGTCGTGTCGCTTTAGATCGGCAAGTCAAAAATGTCTATGTGCATGTATTATAAAACCTATGGTACTGCTAAATAACTCTTATTTACTGTTCAAACCAATCTTTTGAAGATGATAACTCCCAAGAAACCAAAAAAAATTGTAAATAAAGCCTAAAGACCAGGAATAAAGAAAACAAAGTCGATTTGACATTTGTGTCTTCATTATCCTCTTATTATATAATCAACAATGACATTAAAAAAAAAAAACAATGACATTTTAATAAATTGTTACTACAGTATTAGTAACACTCATTTTTGTTCTATAGAATTACAATTAAATTCATTTCATGAAAATATATTATCAATCGAATTGGACTAACGTAAACAAATTTTTTTAAAAAATATTTTTAGTCGTCTACAACTCACATACGCATATTTTTAAATTTAAAACCCTAGTTATAGCATAACGATGAACGAGGACAATAATACAAATCACGAGACTACATAAGAACGATGATAATTGATTGTTACATGTTTCTCGAGTTCGTCAACATATACTCTCTGTTTCTTAATAAGTGTACGTAGTTTAAGTAAAATAAATTTGTTTCTTTTTATTTGTTTTTTTTTCTTTCAAATTTCAATGTAATATTTATTATTTTTTTCTTATTTTTGACTCTTGAAATTCTGACGTTTGTTTTTTCATTGGTTGAATTGTTTATAAATAGATAATAAACATATTTAAAAAATTGTTTCGAGTTATGTGTCAAAATTGATTTCTTAATTTATGTGTCAAAATTGTTAAGTACACAACTAAATAGAAACATAGGTAGTACAAGATAAAGATGATTGCAAGATTCTATCGAAACCTTACGAGTTATGCAACTAGGTTGATCTTGAGACCAAGTTGCTATATACAAGATTCTTGTTAAAGTAAGATTCGAGTCCATACATTGTACAACGAAACAATACACATCGTATATTCTGGATAATCGAAAAGTTGGGACACAAAAAGAACGAGTGTGTAACAAGTTTTACATATCCTTTCCAAAAATATCCATCTCACTATCATAGTTTCCTTCTTCGTATAGCAAATAGGTCTTAGAAGAAGAGGATAAATTCCCACAGTTCACATAGACAGCTTTTTGCTTCATAAACAAGTTGCTGACTATGTAATAATGCATTTAGATTTAGATGGAGAAAGAGAGATAATGAAGTACCCAACTTGATGTATATGGACTATGAAATCGAAATGACACTTCAACTTTTAGTAAAAAGAAATTGTTATCGAGACTTTATTGAAATGATTGAGAACAAACTTGAAATCAGAGTAAGAATTACAATGCAGTCCTAGTCGATGTGATGGATCAAAATCTTTGCAAATAAAACAGAGACATGTATTGATAGTGTAAACTGAGACCACCAGGCTTGTGTAAATTACTTGCTCACAAGAAAATAAAAGCAATTCACTCTTCTGATGGCAGGCATTCATCGACCATCTCCACGAGGTTCGGATTCTCTAGTGCAGCCGCCACACGTTCTTTATCGTTTAGTTGTTTATTCACTGCATTTTAAAGACCAAGAAACCAGACATCATGTCTAAAAGAAGTACAATCGATGTAAAGCAAAACACGCATACCAAAAAAGATGGATAGACATATTGAAAAATGACATACATGCATCCTCTGTTGCATGAGAACCAGGCGCCACCCGTATATCAATCTGAAAAATATAGAGTTGTTTCAGAAGATTGAGGCACATAACAAATTCTGTCGTGTGTACTTTTAAGGCAGTCATAATGACATTTAGTACAACAGGCTAGATCTATATTTCTCTTAGCAAGTATCAAGAACAGTTGATTAAAGAATGAAACAAGAAAATGGTTATATGCCTCACATATCACAAGGAGAATGTGTCGTTGAATGTTTAATTAGTGCAATACTTGATGAATGCCAAATGTCCAATTATGTTCAAACTAGTCTCAATAATGCGAAAGGCAGATATGAGCTCAGTAGATCATATTGACAATGCTCAAAATACGCAGGAATACAGAACCACAGAAACAAAGAAAACAAAAAGTATCAGAAAGCTTTGTACCTTGTATCGAGAAGGAAGGCTTCGCAGAAGTTTCACGCGGACACAAAGACCGATAACGGTTGCCATACTACAATGTTCCACAGTTGGAGTGAACGTAACCCTGAAAAGAAACGTCACAGCTCAACAGATTGGCTCAAAGGAACACTAAAACCCATACAAAAACGTTAAATCCCAACATGTACCTAACATAACTGTTCTCATCATCCACTTCAACTGAGTCTTCTGTAACAACTCTGAGATCTTCCAGAGTATTAGGATGCTCTGGATCCTTGATATCTCTTATATGATTTGTGTATTGTCAAGGAAAAAAAAAAGAAGAGATAATCCAATATCTTTCTATATCAACTAACACAAAGATTCAATTTTTTTGTAAATTACCAGACGGATATTACACACTCTTATGAGAAATTCAGCATAAAGAACATGATTCAAGCTAAGAAGCAAGTCTAGTTTCTCCAAAACCTACTTCGAAAAGATATCGATATGCATACGAGAACAAAAGATTCATGATATCTAAACACCTTAATAAGCATGTCAAGTTGTTCCCACTACCTACTTGACTGCTAAGACGATAATGGCATCGAAACAAACACACACAACAAAAGGATTGCAATTCCCAAAATTAAGGATATCAAAAATCTCAAGTTGATCAATTGGTTCTGGTGTAAACTCATCGGTAGTGCTTGAATCAGTACGAAGACGCCTCTCTTTCTTCGGGTAAATGATTGGGTTCTCATTAATCAACCCAGTTACCATTTTCTTCTCCCCTGCCAAAATTAATCAACTCGTCAAAGCAGAAAGCTTCACAAAACCCTAAATTTCCAGGGAAGAAGCAAGCAGCGAATTGAAAACTAAAGAAAGACATATACCGGAATCCAAAATCAATTAATCAGCAAAGTTTTCAGCTTTGATTCGATTAGGGAACAAGAGAGAGGCAAAGATTTTCAATTTTGCAAAATTTGTAAGAAACGAAAAGAAAATCGGAGGTAGGTCAAAAAGCTAGTATATAGGCTTACGAGTACGATAAGGATTGAAGAAAACCTCGCCGCCAATTTAGAATACTATGATCCAATAAGAACAGCGCGAGATGATGATGGTGCTAATTTCTTTTTGGTTTTCCAAATCCTCTATATGATAGCTAATTATCGTCATAACTCTATTTATCGTAAATCATCATTTTTCGACAATATATAATATTCACATATTGATATATATATATATAAAGTATAGATTATAAAATTTATATTTTGTTAAGTTAAAATCTACAAATATGATTAAAAATAAGCCTAACAAAATATTGATCTTATAAAAAATGCTTATAATATAGTTTTTATATGGGACAATTTTGTTTCGTTATTTACTTTTAACATTGTAATTTAATATTTTAAAATACGGGAGATATTTGATCTCGATCTATATTTTATTTATTCTTTGAACTTTGAAGGTAAAAACGTATTTATGGACTCTAAACAATTAGTTAATATGCTTTACCAAAATTTTTGACAAAGAATATTATATAATTATTCACCACAAATATTTGCATCCCATATCTATAATATTTTTTTTATAAATATTAATAAGTGTATTTGATGTACATTCTTTCACAAAAGTTAAACTATAATAGATAGTTGCATGTTCCTTAAACTAACAACAAAATTAAGATGAAAACTAAGTACTTAATTGCTCGAGTAATTATCTGATACACTTAACCGCAATGTAATATATACAGGGTCGATCCACAAGAACAAATAGTACACTAAAGATTTCCGAAACTTATTCTTAGGTAGAGCGGAAATGTTGTTTGTTTGGTTTTCAGATTTGGTCGGTGGATAGGTTGAGTGGATTGGACAGATCAGCAGATGGTTTGACTCGCCCTTCCTTTGGTCGGGTGAATAGGGCGGGTCAACTGGACGAATCAGCAGATGTTTTGACTCGCTCTACCTTTGGTTGGATGAATAGGTCGGGTCAATTGGACGAATCAGCTGATGTTTTGACTCGCCCTACCTCTGGTCGGGTGAATAGATCAGGTCAATTGGACAGATCAGTAGATGTTTTGACCCGCCCTACCTCTGGTCGGGTGAATAGGTCGGGTCAATTGGACAGATCTGCAGATGTTTTAACCCGCCCTACCTCTGGTCAGGTGAATAGGTTGGGTCCATTAGGCTGAACGTATTTTGATACTCCTTGAGTATTTTTCAATGCTTTTTGCTCCAAACTTCATCCATCTTCACTGCATCACCTGAAATGACTAAAAACGACTCGATGGACCCTAAAAGCATCTAAAAGACGCTTAGACTCGACAAAACACTAAAACTATAAAGACATAAAACCGATAAAAATACAACACATTATTACTTAGAATAATAACCAGGAATAATCATACATTTTAAAAAAAATTTACTTGGAATATAAAAATGTGACTATTTAAAAGTTTTTGACTAAAACCATCAAAGTATACGAGAAACTACTTAAGCTTGTGGTTAAACTAGTTTCAAAATTTACCTTCATTTTTTTAATGAATATATTAAAAATGCGAACATAGCTACATAGCTATCCTACTTTCAAGAACTTTTTGAGGTAAGGGTTAATAAAGCCATTCATCACATTTTGAAAGGTGAATGTAGTATTAATGAGTTCAAATGGCATGACTAGAAATTCATAATGTTCATCATGTTGGTGGTAACCAAATATGTGATTATGAACACAACGACATTCACATTAATGGGTTGTTTATCAATTTGTTTTACAACATAATGCCCGACTTACTCGAGTACTATTTTATCTCGGAGTTTCTCAAGATAAATAATTTGAGTTTCTTCTAGCGTGATTAATCTTGTACAAAAACAGAACGATTGATACAAAAAGGATTTATTAGATTGAGGTCTTGGTGTAGGTTTGATGCATGATTAGCGCAAATAAACTGTTTTACTCCTAGGCTGCTTTTTCAAATTGGAAAAGAATATGAGATCCAGTGAAGTAATAGTAAAGTATACTTTACATATATGTCTCTTTGAAAACATGTCATTCTTCTTCTCTTTGTTCCATTCATGTGTTCTTTATTTTTTTATTCTTTTATAATTGTTGTTTTATGTTTATCTTATAGGGTCTTGTCTCAATTGAATGAGATGATTGCATAGTGTTCTTTGAAAACTTTTCTGAATACCAAAATGATTGTGTGTAAGATATTAACGTTGAACAAGATCTTGAATCAGCTGATGGTTGAATAACTTACAAAACTGAAGGAAAACTCTATGTCTCGAGTATCATGGATCACTCAATTCGCCAATGGAAGGATGATGATTTGTTTGCCATAGTCATTCATATCACTGAGTTACCAATAGGTACCTAGACTGCGGGTTACTTAAAGTTTTGAAGGAACACCCATCTGTGAGATAGACGTGGGTGTCTCCCTTATAATTTATCTTGCATGAATGCATTCCACATATTTCACGTCCTGTGAATGTCTTTTTTATAGTGTAATTAATTTATTATTATTTAATGCATTCCCGTCTTTCAGTCACTCTCAAGACGATTCTATCGATATCAAATTAATATAATATGAGAATCAAAAGTGGTTGTTATGATTGAGGAGTTGATGGTAAGTCTGTGTCTCATCTCCTACATCCACACGCTCAACATGTACCTATATACTCCAACCAGCGAAATAAAGAGATATCCCACTGCAAAAGAAAGTAAGAACAAATTCAACTGTTTACTTCTAATATGTTATACCATTTACTATATCATAGCTATGCTAACTAATATTACATTTTAGTTCTTTTAGACAGTATGAAAAGAGACTGTCTAATAAAAAGGCCAGAGTATAGGTGAATTTGGAGATGGTTCGTGATATAATAAGATTCAGGGAGGATATGTGCGACGGAACAATAAAGAGCGGTTCAGAAACTGAAATTTTTAGCCAGTTGACAGAAAAAAGTACAGCAAATTTAGCCAAATCAGCCAAAAGGTTCAACACTTTGGTCTATCTCATCTCAAGATGGAGCTTTTGTGATGATGATGGTGATAATTTTTTAATTTATTTTGTGTTTCAAATAATGTGAACATCTAAATTTTCTTTTAATATATATGGACAAGTTTATTTTGTTTATTATTATTTTTTTTTACCAAACACAAGTGGATCCAAATTGTTGATTATTGATAAAAAAAATTGAAAAAAAATGAGTTGAAGAAGAAAAGTTTGAATAATATTCGACTCATTTCTCTGTGAAATAGGAGATGAACAAGTTAAACAAATTTTCTAACTTTTTAACTTTTATATTATTTATATTTTATTTACTTTTTTAACTTTTTAAGTTGATGGGTTGAATTATTTTTCCAACTTATTCATCTCAAATGGTAAAAAATTAGATGAATGATTATTCAACTCTTTCAACTTCTTAATTTTAGGCAATCATTTGCACCCAAGGAGTACAAATGGTTGCATACGAATGAAACATTTGAGTTGAAGAAGAAAAAGGAAGAAAAAGGTTGAATAATATTCAACTCATTCATTTGCGAAATAGGAGATGAACAAGTTGAACAAATTTTCTTTACAATTTATTCATTTTTTCAACTTTTTAAGTTGAATGGATTGTATCATTTTTCTAACTTATTCATCTCAAATGATAAAAAATCAGATTAATAATTATTTATTTTTTTTTAACTTTTTAATTTTAAACAACCATTTGCACCCAAAAAATGGTATTTTTCTATTTAAAAATAAAACTTCCACTTCCATCGTAATTCTATATAAACAATATTTTTTATTAACAGTTTCATGGTAATTAAAAGGTTCGGTGAACCAAACTAGAAAAAAACGAGTTATCTAGTATTTTAGAGTTATAATTTTTTTTTTTTTTTTTTTTGGGTAGAATGAGGAAGACTAGTCTCCCATATTATTAAGAAAAAAAAACAAAAATTACACAACAACGTTTTGTGGGCGTGTAGCACCACTAGCATCCTCAAAAATAATCGAAGTAGCAAAATCAAGCCTAAGTTGAAAACTATGAAAACCTAACGGTAAAGTAAAAGCATAAAACGTTGTAAATACTTCCACTAGCTAGTTCGTCGGCAAGACGATTAGCCTCCCTATACATGTGAGAGATACGGACAATCCAGTCCTTCGAAATGAAGCCATAGCACAGTCGTACTAGGAATGAAAAGGGATGCAAATCGCTAATCCCTGTCGTAAGAAAACCCACCACAATCTCTGAGTCCACCTCCAACTCTATCCGCGTAGCTCTTTTTTCTCAAGCTATGAACAACCCATAATAGACAGCCCATAACTCAGCTAAAGGAGCCGAACACAAACCTATGTTCACTGCGAATCCTCTACACCATATACCATTGCTGTCCCGTAACACCCCACCAGCTGTAGGTCGTCCCGGGTTACCACGAGACGTACCGTCCGTGTTCAACTTCAGCCATCTCTTACGTGGTGGAGTTATAATTTATTATTATCTAAAGTTTTGACAGATGTTTTTAATTCAATTTATTATAATAATAATATATATATATATTAAAAAAAAAAAAAAAAAAAAAAAAATTCAACAATACATTCGATAACATACCACGAAAAATAGAACAAAACACAGCAACTTTGAAACAAAGATGAGTAACTAAAACCCGCAGGCCCAAACTCCACAGCCCAAACTCATTGGGTTTCACTGATTATTTGGGCTGTGGAGTTTGGGCATGCGGGTTTTAGTTACTCATCTTTGTTTCGAAGTTGCTGTGTTTTGTTATATTTTTCGTTTTGAATAAGTCACCTCCTTTGTCGGAGAAAGACTCGGGCGTTTAGCTAGTAGCTTAAGTTTAGGAGTTGCAGTTTGTTTATCTTGAAAAGTCTATTTAAAGACTATCTCTGAATTTTATTCAATGCAAGTTTCAAGTCTCTGTTTCTTGCAAATTCTGTTTCAAATTGAGATTAGAAAACAATAAGTGGTATCAGAGCTTGTTACGAGCTTGGTACGAGAGAGAGAAACATCATGAGTGAGAAGGAGTCTATGATCATACCAAAATTCGACGGTGACTATGAGCATTGGGCTATGCTCATGGAGAATCTGATAAGATCAAAGGAGTGGTGGGATATTATTGAGACGAGAATTCCAAGGACGGAGAGAAACGTGATTCTCACCGGACCGCAGAGGACGGAGCTGGCGGAGAAGACGGTGAAGGATCACAAAGTGAAGAACTATCTATTTGCGTCAATAGATAAAACAATCCTCAAGACAATCTTGCAGAAGGAAACATCTAAGGATTTGTGGGAGTCCATGAAAAGGAAATACCAAGGTAACGATCGAGTTCAAAGCGCACAACTGCAGAGATTACGCAGGAGCTTTGAGGTGCTTGAGATGAAGCTGGGAGAAACAATCACCGGATATTTCTCTAGAGTGATGGAAGTCACCAATGATATGCGAAATCTAGGTGAAGATATGCCAGATTCTAAGGTAGTAGAGAAGATCTTGAGAACTCTGGTGGAGAAATTCACATACGTTGTATGTGCCATAGAAGAATTAAATGACATTAAGATGATGACAGTAGATGGTCTGCAAAGCTCGTTGATGGTTCATGAGCAGAATTTAAGCAGACATGATGTAGAAGATAGAGTCTTAAAAGCTGAGACACAATGGAGACCGGATGGTGGACGAGGTAGAGGAGGAAGTCCAAACCGAGGAAGAGGATGGGGAGGTTATCATGGAAGAGGACGTGGCCATGTGAACAGAGACACGGTGGAGTGTTTCAAATGTCACAAAATGGGACATTTCAAGGCAGAATGTCCAAGCTGGGAGAAAGAGGCAAATTACATAGAGATGGAGGAAGATTTGCTTCTCATGGCTCATGTTGAACAAATTGGCGAAGAAGAGAAACATGTTTGGTTTCTCGATTCTGGATGCAGCAATCACATGTGTGGTGTCAAAGAATGGTTCATCGAGTTGGACCACGACTTCAAGCAGAATGTGAGGCTGGGAGATGACCGGAAAATGACTGTGGAAGGAAGAGGAAAGCTGAGACTTGAAGTTGATGGAAGAAACCAAGTAATCTCAGATGTGTACTTTATTCCAGGGCTGAAGAACAATCTCCTTAGCGTTGGGCAGCTGCAACAAAAGGGGTTGAGATTCATAATTGAGGGCGATGTGTGTGAAGTGTGGCACACGTTGGAACAGAGAATGGTGATGCACTCAATCATGACAAAGAATCGCATGTTTGCCATTGTTGCAACTGTTAGAGAGGCTAGAAAGACTGAAGGAAAAAGGTGTCTTCAAGTGATCGAAGCTCAAGACAATTTATGGCACAAGAGATTCGGGCATCTTAATCACCATGACTTGAGATCACTTGCAGAAAAGGAAATAGTAAAGGGTTTGCCAAAGCTCACTCATGGAGACAAAGATGTGATATGCGAAATCTGTCTAAAGGGAAAGCAGATCAGAGAGTCTATTCCGAAGGAGAGCATGTGGAAATCGACTCAAGTCCTGCAGCTAGTTCACACAGACATATGTGGACCAATAAACCTTGTATCAGCCAGCGGGAAAAGGTATATCCTTAATTTTATAGACGATTTCAGCAGAAAGTATTGGACTTATCTGTTGTCCGAGAAGTCGGAAGCATTCCAGGTCTTCAAGGAATTTAAAGCTGAAACTGAAAGAGAATCTGGTCAAAAGGTGGTCTGTTTGAGGTCAGATAGAGGAGGAGAGTACAACTCAAAGGAGTTTGAGGAGTACTGCAAAGGATTTGGAATTAAGAGACAGCTCACAGCAGCTTACACGCCACAACAGAACAGAGTCGCAGAAAGAAAGAATCGGAGTGTGATGAACATGACGCGATGTATGCTGATGGAGATGTCTGTACCAAGAAAGTTCTGGCCTGAAACAGTTCAGTACGCAGTGTACATACTGAACCGGAGTCCATCAAAGGCTCTAAAAGAGATTACACCAGAAGAGAAGTGGAGTAATTGGAAGCCATCGGTAGAGCACTTGAGAATTTTTGGTAGCTTAGCATATGCTTTGGTGCCGTACCAGAGAAGAATCAAACTTGACGAGAAGAGTATCAAGTGTGTGATGTTTGGAGTAAGCAAGGAATCTAAGGCGTATCGTCTATATGATCCTGCTACAGGAAAAATCTTGATTAGTAGAGATGTTCACTTTGATGAAACCAGAGGCTGGGAATGGGAAGATAAACTGCCGGAACAAGAGCTTGCTTGGGAAGATTCTGTTAAAGAACCTGCAGGGGAAGAGGGTACAGACGCAGATCAACCCGAGCAACAAGAAGAAGAAGAAGAAGCAGTAGAAGAAGCAGCTCATCAAAATCAAAATCTGCGGTCTGTTGAAACAGGAGGTGCTAGACAGAGACAACCACCTGTTTGGATGAAAGATTATGTCATCGGAAACGCAAAGGTTCTTATAGCAGAAGAAGAAGAAGATGAGATGTTTGCGATGTTTGTTGGACCAGAAGATCCAGGAAACTTTGAAGAAGCGGTTCAGATGGAGGTATGGAGAAAGGCTATGGAAGCTGAGATAGCCTCAATAGAAGAGAATAACACATGGGAACTGGTTGAGCTGCCGGAAGAAGGAAAAGTAATTGGGTTGAAATGGATCTTCAAAACCAAGTTCAACGAGAAAGGAGAAATCGACAAATTTAAGGCAAGACTGGTCGCAAAAGGGTACCATCAACGATATGGAGTAGACTTTCATGAGGTATTTGCACCAGTCGCTAAGTGGGATACAATCCGGTTAATACTCGCCTTAGCAACAGAGAGAGATTGGAGAGTCTTTCAACTTGATGTAAAGAGTGCCTTCCTACATGGAGACTTGAAGGAGGACGTGTTTGTTGAGCAACCTAAGGGATTCGAAGTTGAAGAAGAATCCAATAAGGTATACAAGTTGAAGAAAGCCCTATATGGACTAAAACAGGCTCCGAGAGCATGGTATAGCCGCATAGAGGGTTACTTTATCAAGGAAGGGTTCGAAAAGTGCTACTGTGAGCATACTCTGTTCGTGAAGAAGGAGAGTAGTGATGTTTTGGTTGTAAGTGTTTATGTTGATGATCTCATTTACACAGGAAGTTCAATGGATATGATTGAGAAGTTCAAGACATCGATGATGGAGGAATTCTCAATGACAGACTTGGGAAAAATGAAATATTTCTTGGGAGTGGAAGTTATTCAAGATGAAACGGGTATTTTCATTAACCAAAGGAAATATGCTGCAGAGATTCTCAATACTTATGGAATGGAAGATTGCAACCCAGTCAAGAATCCAATTGTGCCAGGACAAAAGATAACCAAGGAAGGAGCTGGAGAACTAGTGGATTCAACCAAGTATAAACAACTCATTGGGAGTTTGAGGTACCTAACCACCACACGACCATACTTGATTTATTCTGTAAATCTTGTTAGTAGGTACATGGAAAGCCCAACTGAGATGCACATGCTTGCGCTGAAGAGAATCTTGAGATACGTGAAGGGAACTCAAGGTTACGGGATTCAGTATAAACGTGGGAGAGTTGCTGAGCTGATCGGGTTTGTCGACAGTGATTACGCTGGTGATGTTGATGACAGGAAGAGTACGTCCGGGTTTGTGTTCATGTTAGGAGGAGGAGCTATTGCTTGGGCATCAAAGAAGCAGCCCATCGTGACTTTATCAACAACTGAAGCTGAGTTTGTGTCTGCTGCATTTGGTGCTTGTGAAGCGATATGGCTCAGAAATGTGTTAGAGGAGATTGGTTGCAGACAAGAAGAAGGTACACTTGTGTTCTGTGACAACAGTTCCACTATAAAGTTGTCAAGAAATCCTGTGCTACACGGAAGGAGCAAACACATTCATGTGAGGTATCATTTTCTTAGAGAACTGGTGAAAGAAGGAACTATCAGGCTTGATTACTGTGCTACTGCAGACCAACTTGCAGACATCATGACCAAGGCTGTGAGACGAGAGGTGTTCGAGGATCTTCGTGAAAGAATGGGAGTAAGGATCAGAGAAGAGTAAACTGAAGATTGGAGTTTCAGTTTAAGGGAGAGGTGCTGTGTTTTGTTCTATTTTTCGTTTTGAATAAGTCACCTCCTTTGTCGGAGAAAGACTCGGGCGTTTAGCTAGTAGTAAGTTTAGGAGTTGCAGTTTGTTTATCTTGAAAAGTCTATTTAAAGACTATCTTTGAATTTTATTCAATGCAAGTTTCAAGTCTCTGTTTCTTGCAAATTCTGTTTCAAATTGAGATTAGAAAACAATAGAAAGTACCATGGTTCTTCTGGATGGAGATCCACCGATAATACTGACCAGGGTGTTATTTTGGAAAATTCAAACTGATCCAAACATGTAAACCGTGTCAACAAATCGAATAATAAAAAGATATGATAAAGAACAAAACAAGCAGTCCAGATTTTTACCTTACTACAGATTCCCAGAGGCTGTTAACAAATTCAAAGACATCTTAGTGCCCATCATAGCAAGTAGAAAAGTTTTAAAAAAAAAAAACACTTGTGTTTCAAGCCAATGAATTTAGGCGTTCGAATAGGGGATGAATTAGAAAACATCAAATTTAAAGCAGAGACTGACCATCTTTGCAAGTCGGAAATCGGCTTCTCGTCAACGTACGGGCAAAGGAAGACTCAGAATTGTCAGAGAAACTAAAGGGTTTTTTTCTTCTTTGGTGTAATTGTTAAGGGCTCAAGTTTGCTGTGTTACCCCGGCCCGTATCATATTTTAAAGCCTTAACTTTGTAGAAAATAGGCCCAAATTAAAATGGGCTTATTCTGGTTTCTTTCTTTCTTTTCTTTTCCCGAGTTTTGACGTCTACGTTGATTTATTTATTTTTGCCGACAAATAAGAAATAACTTTCATTAAATGAGAGTCATTTTTTTTTTTTTTTGGGGGTGGGGATATGAAAATTTTTATGAATTTTTAAAGTAAAACCTTCATAAATTAATAATATCGAGACCGAGAGAATTTATTAATTTATCGATAAATAGAGAGATTTTACTAATTTTGTAATCTCTTAAAATTATTATATGAAAAGTAGTTTTTTCTTTATAATTAATATCTTTCAAAAAAAAATTATAAGTAGAAAATAAATTGTTAAGCTTAGAAAATAACACAAAAGATTTTAAGATATAGTAAATATATTAGAATTGAAATCTACCAAGAATTAATACAAATTTATGAAAAACTAATAATAGTATATTCGTATTTCACTAAATATTTTACATAATCTATATATATATTGATAAGTTTGTACAATTATTAATTTATGGTATTGATGGGACCATAATTACATAAGATTTTCAAAAAAAATATTATTTTATTAATTTATAGAGGTTTTACTGTATATTAAAACATCAACTTTCAAACTATATTTCATTTATTCTTTGAACTTTAGAAGGAAAAAACGTATTTATGGAATCTACACAATTAGTTAATATGTCATTAATAAAGCAAAGACGAATTAGTATAAAACGAAAACCGAAACTGGATCAGGCCCATAGATTTAAAAATCTCCAGAAAAACCTCGTGCCTTCCTCTATGGAATCGACACGTCATCATGCTGACTTTTCTCTATGAAGAGAAAATCAAATCACCAAGTCATAAACATGGCTGGGCAAAATATCCGTTAGATTTGGTTCGATCCGTTATTCGATTCGATTCGATTTGAAAAATCTGGATATCCGTAACTTTTCGAAGCAAATCAAATATTAAAAATAGATACTCGTAAAAATCGGAGCAAATATCAAATACTATAATTCAAATTAGTGGATATCCGATTCGCTCCGGAATACATACATATATATATTATTACATATATAAATTATAATTTTATTATTCTTGTAAGCGTTTTATAATTTTTAATCTCTGAATTAATTATTTGAACTACTAGTTTGAATAATTAAAGGAGAAATATACATATTTTTGATAAAATATTACTATTTTTAATAAAATTTTACAATTTTTGGATTATATTTTAGTTATTAAATTTTTTTTTGTTTAATTTTAAACAAATACTTAACAGATCGAATATCCGGCAAATAGTTTGGATTTTAACGGATATTCGAACAACCGGATATCCGGTCACTAACAAAGCAAATACGAATCGAAAAACTTAGTATTCGGAAAAAACGAATCGAATAACAAATACCACTAAAAACCCGGATATCCGCTCCGTGCCCACCCCTAATAAACAACAACACCTCCGGTTTTTTCACTTTCTATATAGTCATCGGACGATCGATCACAACGGAGAAGAAAGCCATGGCGGAAGAAGAGAAAAGCTTGAAGAAGCAAGTGATGGTGGCGATTGATGAAAGCGAATGTAGTAAACGTGCTCTTCAATGGACGCTTGTGTATCTCAAAGATAGCCTCGCCGATTCCGATATCATCCTCTTCACTGCTCAACCTCCACTCGATCTCAGCTGTGTTTATGCTTCCTCTTATGGCGCCGCTCGTTAGTATCTTCTTCATCTTCATCTTCGATTTCATTTGTGGTTTGATTTTGAAATTGAGTTTGAATTTTACCTTCTGTGTTGTAGCGATTGAGCTGATAAATTCAATGCAAGAGAATTATAGGAACGCTGGATTGAATCGGCTTGAGGAAGGGACCAAAATTTGTGCTGAGATTGGGGTTTGTCTCCATCGCAATCGTATTTGTTTGTTTTTAGGATCTTTCAGTCATATGAAATTAGTTCAAACGCATTGTTATCAGAATGTTATTGGTTAAATCTTGCATGGTTTGGTTATGTTATCAGGTAACTCCAAGAAAGGTGTTGGAATTTGGAAATCCTAAAGAAGCCATATGTGAAGCTGCTGAGAAGCTTGGTGTTAATATGCTTGTTGTTGGAAGCCATGGTAAAGGAGCATTACAAAGGTGTGTAATTAGTGAACTGAACATTAAGATTGTTGACGAGGTTAGTTTTCGAAGATGATAATGTTTCTTACGTTCTATGTGTATGGACAGGACTTTCCTTGGGAGTGTTAGCAATTACTGTGTTAACAATGCTAATTGTCCAGTTCTTGTGGTGAGGACAAAAGCTTGAAGACCTCTTCTCATTATCGAGAACCCTGGCTTGATGTGTGTGTTGTAAAGTAAACATATTGATGATAATAATGCTCTGCTTGATTATTACTGTTTGAAGAAGATACTTTGTGAGTACACATAAATTTTGTTTGATAAATAAAGAGATTTGCCTTGCTTGGGGCTTGCAGTCTGCAATTTCTTAGTTTCAACATGCAGTTCTCAAACTGATACTAAGACAGGCTTAGAGTAATCAAATGCTATAAACTCGGCTTCAACCGAAAATCCTGTTTAGGGTAGCTGCCAGTCTCACCCCTCCTTGTGCTAAGCGCTGATACACTATTGGTAGACGTGAATAAAAGTATTCATCTGCGAAGATGACATTACGTTTTTGTTAGCTTCTTTCTTTTGTGAATCATCATAGTTTTTTGGGTGAATTCTTTACCTTCTAGAGTGTCTCCTTCAGTTACCCCCTTGTATGCCCAGTCACAGGCTGCTTGAATTCCTTCGGATGCATATCTGTGTGAAGTTTACAGGGGAAAGCAAGTGGACGTTAAATCTGGTTCGTGCCGGCTTGAAGAACAATCACTTTTATTCAAAGGTACTGTAATCTTGTATCTGACTTACATGTCTGGACATGCCGTCTTCTTTGTGCAACTCTCCCATCTCTTAACTTGATCTGCCCATTCTGTCTGCATTTTATAAAAATATGTCAACAAATCAGAAACACTTTGTAGCATACAGGTAGAGAACAGTCTTTTTGATGCATGAGTACCGTGATATTCTTCTTGAGTGCATCCACCATTCCTTCTAGTTCAGAGTTATAGAGATCTGCTTCAGCAGTTTCGATAATATTGGAATCCCATATCTGTATAAATCTTAAGTTTAGAACTTTGTATTATCTGATGCTGAAATTATATATGCGTTTGGCAGTTCTTACATGGTGGAGGTTAGCTTTTCTGCTGTACCAGTGCACTTCGATGGTGTTCCCTCCTTTGTCTGAAGCGTAACCCACATGTAGAGGCTGCATTTTACAACTATGATATTCAGATATACTCAAATAAGAAACCGGTTATCTTGATTGAATTTTATAATAATACCTGATGGATATCACCCATGAAATGGGACACGAAGAGCAGGGCCTCGGTTAAGTTGTCTGACGACAAGAAAAAATAGAAACGGAACATGAGAGGGAGATAAAAGATGAGGAAATTGGTGAAAAGCAAAAAGGTGGCAACGTTTTGGTACTACACTGTGACTGAGATGAAGCTGCAGTGTTGTAGGAAAGAAGCTGTGAGGTGTAATTGTAAATGGCTCCTGCAACACATCTTCCTTTCTCTCCAGCTTCGTCCTTGCAGTCCCCTTTGGACTCGAAACAAAGAAAATGTGGTTGGAATCATAACACTTATGCTTTTGATTGTTTTGTGACATGGATATTATAAAAAAGCTCACTATTGTATTGGTATGAACATGCATCAGGAGTGTTGATATAATGAAGAGGAGAAGACCAGTGGTATCTAAACTTGACACGATCAGCCCAAAGACACAAGCTAGACAAGTCTCCTTCTGCGGATTCAGGTAACAGCTCTTTCACCGCCTTTGCTGCGGTTTCATCCAACCTAGTCTGTTCTTCTCCTTAACGTATTAGTTTTTACGTATATAGATTCAAAACTAAAAGACGAAAGAAGATGAAAAATCAAAACCTGCGCGATTTTACAGATGATTTCATGACCTTCTTTCCCCCAGCCATGGATGCTAGGTGCTGCATAAAGAAGCCAAACAGTGATGATCATCATCACTACATGTAACCATCTTTGGTTTGCCATCTCAGAGTTCTTTGAAATGTGTGTTGTTGTTTTTACGAGATGAGTGAGTTTTCATTTGGCTCTTGTTTATATATGCTGATAAAGAATAGAGACGTACAAGGAAGTAAATTCCAAAGATTTATGTGTTTAGGGATATGTGTTGATGTGTGAAAGCTTCTTTTGTATTTTTATTTTTGGCCAAGTGTGTGAAAAGCTTTTAAAGGTCAAAAGAAAGAAATGGGTATATTATGATTTGGTAGATACTGTATCTTTTTTCTTTTTGTCAGTTTAGGAAATGAATCGTGTGTGAAATCAAATGGATTTTACTTCTTTCTTCGTTTTGCTTCTGTTGGATCTGTGATCTGTGTCTATAGGTAAGCTTTTTTACTTACCTCTCTATCTAGTTGACGTTTCCAGTAACTAATTGGCATATAAAAGAAGTTTTTTTTATAAAACAAGACGCTATTTTCATAACATAAAACTAACTCATAAAACTCATCCAAAAACTAACTAGTGTTTTATAAAATCACATTCACTCATATATAAGCTAGTTTTTAGATGAATTTTGACGTTGTGCTAGGAAGCACGGAATCTTCGTCGGAGGTCCGCTTCCCGCTTCGGAATCTTAGTCAGAATCGGAAGCTCTTGGAAGCTTTCGGAATCTCGCTTCCATCGCGTTTCCAAAAATTCCACTTTGGAAGCTCGTTGGAAGCTTACGATTCCGGTTTGGAAGCTTGCGCTTCCATTTTATAAATTCAATTTTACAAATAAAACATGAAATTATTATTTTTATACAAACAAACTCAAACTAAAAATTTTGCATACTAATATTTGTATTTTATTTTTAACAAAATCATGTTTAGAAAATAGCAATGACATGAATCTAATATGTGAGAGATATTATAAATGATTAATTAATTTAGATTAATTTCGAGAGACTTGAATTTGATAATATTTTTACCTATAATATACATAATTTGAAACGATTTTGTTTGATGTTATTTAAAAAAAGAATGAATATAGTGTTATAATTTTTTTCTTGAATTATTTGATTTTGTTTGTTGTAAAAATTGGTTTAATTTTTAAGTTTAGTTTTTAAAATTTATTTATTAGATTTGTGGGGTTAATATAACTTGTAATATGATATAATGTTTAATATTTAGTTATATATATACATATATATAGATATTCTTTATATATACTATACGCTTCCATCGCGTACCGCTTCCGTAAAATTTTCTAAAAAATCGCTTCAGCGCTTCTAAACGATTCCGCTTCCGCGTACCCGCTTCCGTTTCCATGCAACATAGTGTTTTAGTAGACTTGTTTAAGAATTTAGTACATAATATATTCTTGTCAAGTGGTATTGAAGTAGTTTGAGCACTTTTTTGTTGTTTACTAGTGAGTAGTGAAAGAGTTCTTTATCTACAAGCATCCCTTCCACTTCAATTTTGGTTGCTCATTTAACCACTTGGTGTCTCACTTGATGAATTCAAGAATCGTGCCACACAGACTTGGTGTCTCTCTTGATGGATTCAAGAATCGTGCCACATGCATTGTATCATCACGGAAACCGGAAAACAATGTGATGTGATAGTCAACAGCGTAATTCTAAACAAGGGGATTTGGTTTCCTCAAGCTACCCTCAGGCCCAAGTACTCGTTCATTGTGTGGCTTGCAACACATAATCGGTTAATTAGAGGAGACATAATGAGATCATGGAATGTGGGAGTGAACTCTAAATGTGTTTTCTGTCGAGAACCAATCGAGTCAAGGGACCATTTATTCTTCACATGTAGCTACTTTTCTCAGGTTTGGGAATCGCCTACTCGGGGCATATATATATATATATATTCACGACCGCGCTTTAATAAAATAAAAAAAAACAACCGGAATGTTTCAAATTACGGGCACCGGAACGGCGGCTCCGGCAATGTCTATGGTGTTTCCGAATTCATCAAGACGACCGGTTATGCTTCCTCTCCGGAGCGCAAAGACCTTCAAGCCTCTCGCATTTCTCGATCTTAAAGGAGGCAAAGGGTACACACACATCTCTCTAATTTCATATTTGCTTCTCTAGCGAAATCGGATCCGTTATTGTGCAATTGAGTTTCTGGATTCAATTTTGTCGAGCTTTCATTGATCTAATGATTCTGATTGAAAATTTCGATATTGTTGTACAGGATGAGTGAGTTCCATGAGGTTGAGCTCAAAGTTCGTGATTATGAATTGGATCAATTTGGTGTTGTGAATAATGCTGTTTACGCAAACTACTGTCAACACGGTTAGTTTGCAATGTTGCTGCTTCTGATTGTTGAAATTGTTTATACATTTCTGAATGTACTTGAGAGTGTCAAGATCTTGCTACTATGTTTAGAGTCTTGCTAGTTTTTGACGTTGCTGCTTCCGATTGTGTACTTTTCTATTGTCGAGAAGGGTTTCGAATCGTTTAGTTGACTGAATCTGGACTCTGCATGATCAAAGTTACTTTTTCAATGTAGTGGAGTAGACTTTAGGGCTTTTGGATTAAATGTGACAAGATCTTTCTAATAAGTTTAGATTCTTGCTAGTTAAGTTTGCGATGTTGCTGTTTCAGAATTCAGATCGTGTTCTTGACAGAATCTGGACTGCATGATCAATATTTACTCCTTTTCTGAGTCTTATTGTGAATGTGGTTGAGTTGAAATTTAGAGTAGAGGAGTAAATGTGTCAAGATCTTGCTACTATGTTTAGAATCTTGCGAGTAAATCGTTTTTTTGCAAGATTGTGTACATTTTTGTTGTTAAAGAGGAGTTTCAGATCGTATGCTTGACAGAATCTGGACCGCAGGATCAAACTTACTCCTTTCCTGAGTCAACTGGATCATTTTTGAATGTGGTTGAGTTGAACTAGAGAGTATCGTCAGACTAAGTGTGACAAGATGTTGGTACTAGTTATTTGCTAGTAATTCGGTTGCACTCTTGCTGCTTGAGATTGTGTCTATTTCTACTGTCAAAGAGTAGTATCAGATTGTATTCTTGACAGAAGCTGGACTGCATGATCAATAGTTACTCCTTTTCTGACTCTAATTGGAAACCTTTTCATACATTTTCTGAATGTGATTGGAAGAATGATATATATATTAAGATCTTGCTCGTTAAGTTTAGAGTCTTGCTTTTTGCATTTATCTTCGGCATATATTGGGAAGTGGATGGCTTTGTGGTTTAGAGTCGAGGTATGTGTTTCTTATCTCATTCTAACCAGCTCTTACTTGTTGATATCTTTCTAACTAAAGGTCGACATGAGTTTCTAGAGAGTATCGGTATCAACTGTGACGAAGTAGCACGTTCTGGGGAAGCCTTAGCTATTTCAGAGTTGACAATGAAGTTCCTTGCACCTTTACGTGTAATAATAATGTCCATCTTCTCCTCAACTTACTACCTCACATATGCCATGTCAATGTGCTGTGGTATATTCATTTCATCTCTTTGAACAGAGCGGAGACAAATTTGTGGTGAAAGCAAGGATATCGGGAACATCTGCTGCGCGTATGTACTTTGATCATTTCATCTTTAAACTTCCTAATCAAGAGGTTAATATTCTCAATAAGCCTTTGTGTTTTAGTTGATAAGTTTTTTTACTTGTGAATTACTAACTAATTTGGATGCTTTTGATATATATAAAAAACAAAGCAGCCTATATTGGTGGCGAAAGGAATAGCTGTGTGGCTTGACAACAAGTACCGTCCTGTTCGTATCCCATCTTCGATACGCTCTAAATTTGTTCACTTCCTACGCCAAGACGACGCCGTTTGATTCACTCATCAGACCAATTAAATCTACTTAATGGGCCTGTGATTAGCCCATGTCTTATAAATATAAATATGTATATTCGGATAATGCAAATGCCAAATGCAACATTGGATTTCTCCCGCCGTTACAAGCCACCGAACTTGTGCATAACATGAGAAAACAAAAACACAAAAGTTGAACTCATTGTAAAAATACAAATGCATAACCAAAAATTAAATGTAAAATTCATGTGGCTAATGTTGCATTGAGTCATGAGGCTAGTAAGTTCATAATCTTATACACATACTAGGATTTGTAAATTTTTGTTTTACATAAATTTAATTAAAGTAGTTTAGTTTGACATGTCTAATATAGTATCGATTTTAACAAAAAAAAATATTGGTACTGTTAACAAAATAATAAAATGAGGATTTAACCCGTATTGAAGCGTCTGGTTAATAATATTTTACATTTTTATTAATGTCGATTCAAACATGTTCTGCCATATAACTCGTCCCGCGATATAACTCGTCCTGTGTTATCTCAAATTTTTTATATGTCTAAACATTTTAGCCAATGTGGGACGTTGAACTGTTTAATTTTTCATTAATTGAGTAATATATTTCCGTTTTCTAAAATTCCTAATCACAATATATGAAAAGAATTAGAATTTTATTAACTTTATCTATTATATGATGATTCCAAAATATTTATAAAATAAAATCAAACAAGATAATAGAATAATTATAATATTAAATTATAACTAAATCTTCTAAATATCTATATTATTAACTGTGGAACATTATATGAAAATTTTATAATTAATGTTAAACTTTTAATTGTGTTGGTTATATAGCTAGTAGATAATTAATTGTAAAGTTGTTTGGATATTTGAATATTAAATAAAATGTACTTCAACATATATATATATATATATATATATATTTCCTAGACTCCAAAATGTGTCTTTCCTTGTTTCTAAGGTCTATATATTTCATTATTAGTACTATACTACTATACAATGTCAACTTTCTGAGAGAACCTATGACAAGCAATTAATGGAATATTGTCTAAGTTTGTAAAATGCAGAACCACCCTAAGTTTTTTGATGTTTAAACCATATGGACAAAGGAAAAATATTTTTGGAAATATCTTGGTCATGACTTCAAAACACTTGAATGTGAATATAAGTATGTGCAAGCTAAAGACTAGACCTAATAGTGGTTTCTATAGCGAACAGTTCATGTGCAGTTCTCGTTCCAAATCCAAATCAAGTAGATTTAGTACGTCAAGAGCATTCCGACGAATGCACCTTGATAATTGTTGAAGGCGAGTCGGCAAAATTATTGGCGCGGAGATGACTGTCTGTATTAGAACAAGAAATATATGGGGCTTCTTCTTAGAGAAAATATCAAACATGAATGAAGGCCTAAAAAATCACATCTACCCCAATTACAAACATGCTCAGAGCACTTGAGTTGGTGCATTAGAGAGATATACAATCGCTACGATACCATCATGTTATGGTGGTGATGTACCAGGATCCCGACGACATTCATATTAATGGATTGCTCATCAATTTGTTTTATAACATAATGTCCGACTAACTCAAGCATTTCTTATCTCCGAGTTTATCACTCCTCTCATTAATCTTATACAAAACCAAACGGTTTTAACCAAAAGATTTATGAGACTTGAGTTTTTTTTTTTACTCCTAGTTTGCTTTTTCAAATTGGAAAATGAATATGAGATCCAATGAAGTGGTAGTAAGTAGTATACTACAAGGTATATTTTTCTATGTGAAAACATGTCATTTTCTTCTCTTTGTTCCATTCCTCTCCTCTTTGTTCTTCAATTCTTTTATGATTGTTGTTTTATGTTTATCTTATAGGATCTTGGCTCAATTGAATGATCATCGAACGATTTTGTGTGGGATGATAAAAGCTTAACAAGCTCTTGAGAATTGGTTTGTTTGTTTTTTTTTTGTAAAATAAAGTTTAAGGAGCGTTTTGATTGGGTTTTAAAACAAGCAAGTGTTGTTGTAAACCACATTGTAGATAACATAACCTACTGTGCTTTTTCCACTTCGACCGATTGACCTATGCACACACAACTCTTCAATGATGGATCCCCTCTCTTGTGGATGGCTTAAAACCTGGTCAAAAAAATGTTTTGTGGAGCACATAAAAAAAACGTGTTGGCTGGAGGGTGAAAGTTTCAGAGTTCGTCAGTTATTTTTGTGTGTGTATGTTTGCAGAAAAGAATGAGAGAAGAAAAAAGAGACAATGCGGGAGATATTTGTCTCGATCTTTATTTTATTTATTGTTTGAACCAAAAATTTTGAACGATAAGAATGTAGTTTTGGAATCCAACTATTAGTTACATATGTTGTACCAAAATTTAAGACAAATAATACTATACAATTATTCATCGCAAATATTTGCGACCTCATATCTATAATATTTTTTCATAAATATACAAAGTGTATTTGTTCTACGTTGATATGTAGTTCCTCTTTCCTTAAACTAACAACAAAATTATTTAGACAAGTACTTAGCATAATAATCAAGTATAAATGGTACCTTAAAAAATTACTTGGATTGCATAAGTGTGACTATTTTATAGCTTTTGACGAAACCATCAGAGCACAAGAGAAACTACCTAAGCTTGTGGCTTATAAACTAATTTCAAAATTTATCGGGCATTTTTACAATGGATATTAGAAAATTGCTAACATAGCTATCACCAATTCGAATAATTTTTTGAGGTAAAGTATGAAAATGTCATTCATAACACTATTAAATGTGGATGTAGCATTAGTGAGTCCAATTAGCATCACCAAAAACTTATAATAGTCCTCACGGATCTTGAAATTTGTTTTCTCTACGTCATACCTCTTTCCCGATGATTTGATGGTAATTAGATTTGAGATCAAACTTGGAAAACATGACTGTCCTCTGTAAATCATTTAACAACTCTTCTATGATGGATATATGATATATGTTTGGGATGGTTGCTTTGTTTAAAGCACTAAAGTCCACACATAATATCCATCTTCTATCCTTTTTCTTGACCGATAAAACAAGGCTTGAGTATGACATGATGCTTGATCTGGTGATCTTTGCCTCCAACATCTCCTTTTCCAACTTTTATGTCTCATTCTTCTCATTGATGAGGGACTCTCCTTCTTTCATAGTGATGGGGTGTTGCATATTCTTTCAATCTTTTTTTTTTTTTTTGCTCTATGCATGCTGTTTGGTGTCATTGTGCCGACAGTTTCAATTTCACAATAAAAATTAATGGATGTATAAGTCACCCAAATCAATCCACCAATAAAAAAGATGTGTTCATCTAAGCTTGAGGAAGCATGAAAGCATTTCATATAAGCATTTTGCAATCACAAACAAATAGCATGAACTCAAATTCATCACTACAACACATTTTCCAAAAATTTCTAAATTTCAACTTTGGGTGTGTAGTATGAACAATTCATCTTGTAGCATGAATTCTCCACAAGATTATAAATTCCTTTCACGAAATCAATAACCCAACCAATAGACAACATAACCAACCAAGCATTGACACATAAGAAACTATATATTTTTATAGTTATAATATATAAAATGTTTATTAATCTATCCACGGTCGTTTCGGATCAATTACAATAATTTGTGATCTATAGTATATCGGGGACATCTGCTGCGCGTATTCACTTTCGATCATTTCATCTTTAAACTTCCTAATCAAGAGGTTAATATTCTCACTAATTAAGCCTTTGTGTTTTATTTGATAAGTTTCTTACCTGTATTACTAATTCGGATCCTTTTGATATATATCTATAAAACAAAGCAGCCTATATTGGAGGCCAAAGGAACAGCTGTTTGGCTTGACAACAAGTAACGTCATGTTCGTAATCGTATCCCCCCATCTAATCAATACGCCTACATTTGTTCGCCAAAAACGACACCGTTTAATTCACCTCATCAGCCTTCCGTAGTGGGCCTATCAATAAGCCCATATATATTTATAACTAAAACAAATCTGTATATTGGGATAACTCAAAATGCAACATTGGATTTCTCCCGCCGTTACAAGCCAACTAACATGCGCGTAAGCAACTGAAGAATCGGTACATGAGAAAACAGAAATACGTTTGAAATGATCTAAAACTGTAAAACACAAATAAACAATCGAATTTATGTAAAATTCATGTGGCTAATATTGCAGTGAGGCATGAGGGCTCGTAAGTTGATAATCTTATACGTTCGTTTCCTAGACTCCAAAATGTACTACATGATCCAAATAGTATATCGAATTTATTTATCTCAAATTCGTGTGGCTAATGTTGCGGTGAGTCATGAGGGCTCGAAAGTTTATAATCTTATACGTTCGTTTCCTAAACTCCAAAATGTACTACATGATCGAGAATATAATTTATGTAAAATTCATGTGGCGCTAATGTTGCGGTGAGTCATGAGGAGGCTCGTAAGTTGATAATCTTATACGTTTGTTTCCTAAACTCCAAAATGTAATACTAGAATAAAAGCTCAAAACTTAAGAAAATAAAAGGACACGTAACGTTTCATGGTAAACACTAGAACCCTAGATGTCGAGCAGTGGCACCTTCATAGAACACAATCTTTGTCTTTTATTTGGAAACCAAAACAAGTCGATTGAATCTACTAGATTCTGTACATGATGCGTAATCAAAAAAAAAAAAACATATGGGTTACAATGCGTCACTATTTTTTTTATTTTGTTTTATAATCGTCGTTTCTAGGTATTTGGATGACCATAAGAAAAAAATAATAATAGAAGTAAATGTTGGAACTTTAAACATTTCAGGTGTATGGTTTCATCAGGCGAAACCTCAGCTGCTTTTCGTGATTTGTCGCTTTACAATTTTATCATTCATGATAAGAAGAAATATTTTTTACCATAAATCTTTACCAACTAAAAGTATTAGTCCTTTCGAGATACATTTCTTAACCATGAATTACAAAAGTATTTATCGAAGTGTAAAGAATTTAATCAAGAAACAACATTTTGTTTCAAACAATTTAAGGAGCAGAAGGTGATCTGAAAAACATTAATGGATGATCAAGAACTATATAAATATATTTTTTCCATGGAAACACCAAAATGTCAACATGTTTATTTATTGATTAGTTCTTACTAGTTGCCATTATTTATTTCAACAACTG